CTGGTGCCCTTGCCCTTTGCAGAACTATAAGTCACTATCCCTTATTTTGGGGGGGCGGGTCCTCGACATCAAAGGGAAAACCATTCTCCTTTACCTAGACTTTATGTAACCTGGTCCTAGCTGGCTGGGGTGCTTTGATCTCACAGGCAAACCACAATTATGCAGAATAAACCAGTTTCACGCTGAATACTAATCTGGCCTCGGAGTTCAGTCAAACATATTCCCAGGTGTGTATCCAAAGTTCAAGCGCAATAGGGGGCTCACCTCTTCTCCATGCTATCCACACAAAAATCCTGTAAAAGTAGACAAGCTGAGAGAGAATTGCTGGCTCTAGGCCATCCTGTGAATTATATGCTTCAGTGTGACTATGTCTCATCAGGAGACATATACATGGATGATAATAATAGAACTGGTTTGGGAACAACTGGTTTTGCTGTGTGGATAATAAAATTGGCAGGTTTGAAGCTGGTTTGAGGGCAGTGGGTCATTACATTGAATGCAAAATCTGGACTCAAACCAGTGTGTCGGTCTCCCCCACCCCATTTCTGGGAGGGATGCACATCAGCGCATACTGTAGGCATACTGGCATGGCAAGGGGAGGGAAAGTGGCATGTATGAACGAGGTCATCAGTTACCCTTCCCAGGGGGCTAGTTACCCCTCTGATGCTCAGCTATGACCTTGGAGTGCTTTTCAGCGCCCCCCCCCCCCCCCGCCCTTCTGGAGTCTAGAATGCACTAAAGCAAGGGAGGGTGTCTGCAATGCATTCCCCATTTTGCGGAACTGATTTCTCCCTGGATCTGGAATGCACTGGAATCTCCTGCAGCACATTATTTGCCTGAGCTTAGACTTTCCTGTAACTTTTATTAATATGCTGTATACTCTTAAATGTGTGTCAGCTTGCCCAATGGCAAGGGGTCCCTTTAAATATTTGACACGTTAAGTGTACATGACCCTTTCATAGCTTGAAAATGTATGATAATAGATATTCCAATATTATTACTGTATGCAACGAAAACTTGTGTTGTACTGTTATTTTAATAATAATTTTCATTCTACCTTTTTCTACCTATGTATTTTTAAAAATGCATTTATTTCTTATAAAAATTAAATGATAGCCTTAGAGTTATGGGTATCTTCTTGCAACCAATATGTTTAGACCCAGTCTGCCACTGGTCAGTGTAGATCAGGCATGGGCAAACTTTGGCCCTCCAAGTGTTTTGGACTTCAACTTCCACAATTCCTAACAGCTGCTTAGGAATTGTGGGAGTTGAAGTTCAAAACATCTGGAGGGCCAAAGTTTGCCCATGCTTGGTATAGATGGTTCCAATCTTCCAAGTCTCGGCTGAACACTTAAACCACTGCACTGACTCTTTGCTATAAAGGCATTACAAAGGTTTGCAAAAATATACTTTCTTCACTAAAAGAATACTACTTTGAGGGCAAATACCCTAAGATTCTCCGGGGAGCCCCTTCTCTCGCTCCCACCGCTGTCTCATGCTTGGCTGGTGGGGACGAGGAAGAGGGCCTTCTCAGTGGTGGCCCTCCACCTCTGGAACACCCTCCCCAGAGAGTTGGAGGGGGAGAGCTGGGACGGGGGGAGTGTGTCCCTGTTGGTTCTGCTGGACCTCTCAGCGGCCTTCGATACCGTCGACCACGGTATCCTTCTGGGACGCCTCGCGGGAATGGGCCTTGGAGAAACTGTTCTGCAGTGGCTCCGGACCTTCCTAGAGGGTCGTTCTCAGGTGTTATTGGGAGACACCTGTTCTACCCCACAACCATTGTCTTGTGGGGTTCCTCAGGGTTCAATATTGTCTCCCATGTTGTTTAACATCTACATGAAGCCGCTGGGAGAGATCATCCGGAGTTTCGGGGTACGGTGTCATCTGTACGCAGATGATGTCCAACTCTGTCACTCCTTTCCACCTGCTACTAAGGAGGCTGTCAGGTCCTGAACCGGTGCTTGGCCACTGTGATGGTCTGGATGAGGGCGAACAAATTGAAATTGAATCCAGGCAAGACAGAGGTACTCCTGGTCAGTCGCAAGGCCGAACAGGGCATAGGGTTACAGCCTGTGTTGGATGGGGTTACACTCCCCCTGAAGACGCAGGTTCGCAGTTTGGGTGTGATCTTGGACTCATCGCTGAGCCTGGAACCCCAGGTTTCAGCGGAGACCAGGGGAGCATTCGCACAGCTAAAACTTGTGTGCCAGCTGCGCCCGTACCTTGGGAAGTCTGACTTGGCCACGGTAGTCCACGCTCTGGTTACATCCCGTATAGACTACTGCAACGCTCTCTACGTGGGGTTGCCTCTGAAGACTGCTCGGAAGCTTCAATGGTCCAACGATCGGCAGCCAGGATGCTAACAGGAGCGGCACTCAGGGAGCATACAACTCCTCTGTTGCGCCAGCTCCACTGGCTGCCAATTTGCTACCGGACACAATTCAAAATGCTGGCTTTAGCCTTTAAAGCCCTAAACGGTTCTGGCCCGACCTATCTGTCCGAACGCATCTCCTCCTATGAACCAGTTAGGACATTAAGATCGTCTGGGGAGGCCCTGCTCTCGGTCCCGCCGGCCTCACAAGCACGCCTGGCGGGGACGAGAGACAGGGCCTTCTCAGTAGTGGCCCCTCGGCTGTGGAACGCCCTTCCTACAGACATCAGATCGGCCCCCTCCTATCTGGCATTCCGGAAGAGAGTGAAGACCTGGCTCTTCGAACAGGCTTTCAACTAAGCAGTGCAATTGATTGACTATTGGAATATGGATTAATGGACAATGAGAGTGGATGCTGATTCTATTGATGAGACGTGATGGATTGTTATTTTGTTTATTGTTGTATTGATGTTTTGATGTTAATTAATTGATATTGCTGTTTTAATTGACTAATGATCTGTTTTGTACTGTTGAATTGGTTGTTAACCGCTCTGAGTCGCCTGAGGGCTGAGAAGAGCGGTATACAAGTGAAGTAAATAAATAAATAATAAATAAATTAAGAGAGGCCCCATCACTTTCCTCGTTTTGCAAGAACTTGAAGACTTGGTGGTTTCATCAGGCCTTTGAGAATGACTAGTTACTAGTCCCAGCCCCCAGGCCTAACTTGTTCCAGCCCTTAGGCCTTAGCTAGGTCTCGACCTTGCTCTTCATTCGCTTTCCTGACCCCTGTCATGTTTGAGTACTTGTTCTTTCCAGTCCCTCTCATAATCCATTAATAGGTCCAGGAAATGTAACCCAGGCCCCACTATGGCCACTGTTAGGATCGGTTCCTTGCACTTTCTCCATCTCCCCGGACCTATATTGCTCTACACTAACCTCCGCCCAGCCCCCTTAGATGGTCTAGGCCCCTCGACTACTTCGGCCCCTAGCAGCTCATTCCATATGATAGAATAGTGTTTGTACTGGTTTTCATGTATATGTTTGTGTGTTAATAACCTTGTGTCTATGTTTTGAATACTCTGTATATTTTTTCTGTGTTATTGCATGTATGAAACCACCCTGAGTCCCTAAGGGGAGATAGATCGATATATACTGTAAATAAAGTTTTATTATTATTTTTTATTAAATATATGACCCATTCTCCAAAAAAAAAAAAAAAGAGGAACAAATACAAATGTATGAGTTATAAGGAATGAATTGTACACATAGGCTTCTGGGTATTTCTCTCCTCGAAAAGGTGACGCACAAGGTCTTGTGACCTCTTTTTTCCCAGCCTACAGCTTATGAAACAAAATTTCCTCCACAGTGCAATCTTATGCGTGCCTTCATAAAACTAAGTCAAACTAATTTCAGTTTTGTATAGCATTGCACACATAGCCATTTCACCATAAAAATATGCAATACAGCTTAAAATATTGATCATGCTTCTGCCATCGCCAAAATGTTAAATTCTTCTGTAACATTTATAGCCTGGTGGCAAATAATTTTAACAGGAGTTATTACAAAAACAACAACAACAGCAATAACCACCCCAAAACAAATCAACATTATGGCTTAATTGGGCTTTAAGATGAGTTATTGCAAAAACAAAAACAAAAAACAACAACCCTAAAACAAATCAACATTATGGTTTAATTGGGCTTCCTGACACACTTCAATTCTATTATTAGCATTAAAAAAATAGTTAGGTTCGGTTAGGTTGTGGTCCTGTGATGTAAAAGGTGAAATCCCATATCTACATGCTACCACTTTCTGTAGCACTGCTCTCTAGATCACATGGAAGACTAAACACATTCTGGTGCCTCAACTATTGGACCTGTGCCTGGGTATATTTGACGTGCTGATTCCAAAAAGGGCACCAGTTTTCCCCTATCAGCTTTCGTTTTTTGAGATACAGAACATACACTGTATTCCAGTCTCCATCTGCTTGTCTTCACTTCACTTTGGCAATCTCTCGTAGCCTGAGGATGATGGTCCTCGAAGTGTAGTGGCTTGGCAATAGGTCTGTAGGTGGCTGTGGATCCCTATTCTTGATCCACATGTTCTCCTGTAGTGAGGACATCAGTTTCCAGGTGGAAGGCAGTCCCAGTCAGAGTTGGATTGATGCTCCTTCCTCTTGACACGTTTCTCTCTTTCATCCTCCATTTGTACATCTTCGAATTCTGCAGCACTGTTGGTCACAGCTGACCTCCAGTTTCAGCGCAGGATGTTCACAAATTTGTCAGGGCACCTGATTTTTTGGAGGATGGTGCAGAAAGCACTGTGATTCACTAGTCAATGCCTTTCCAATATCAATGAATGCCATGTACAAAGGTTGATTTTGTTCCCTGCATTTTTCTTGGAGCTGTCATGCATTGAAGCTTTGAATGCGATTTTCCTGCTTCTTGGCAGGGGGTTGGACTAGATGGGCCACAAGGTCTCTTCCAACTCTATGATTCTGTGTCCACTGTTCCGCTGGTTGTCTACATCCTTCAGAGTAAGACAATAGTAACTCAATTCCTTTGTAAGAAAGCTAACTACAATTTCTGATTTTCTCCCTTTCTGTGTCACTTGTGATTCCTGTGCAAAGGTGCATTACTACCAGCCCCTCAGAACATCACAATTGTCTCCACCAATATGAAGCACTTTATGTTTTGGAGCCCAGTGGTTGTTCCTGGAGAAATCGTAAAATATTCTGTTGAATATCAAGGGTAATTTTATAATACTTTCTCTCTTGGGTTGATTGCAGATAAATCAGTGTAGATGAGCTATAAAACAAAACAAGTAAACAACTTTTGTTACTTTGTTGAAATTAGTGAGGAGCATGATAATTTATTTATTTATTTATTTATTATTCAAACTTATATGCCACTACTCCCCTGGGGCTCAGAGCGGCTTACAAGAATGGCCAAAATCTAAATATAGAAAAATTATGTATGTATTACATTGATAATAGATCACTCTGTATGAAAGAACAATTCTGAAAACAAGACCAATAGTAAGGGTTTATGGGAGATTTGATCAAAATTATTATGAGGGTTGGAGCCCCTGAGGCACAGCGGGTTAAACTGCTGAGCTGCTGAACTTGCTCAAATCTGGGGAGCAGGATGAGCTCCTACTGTTAGCCCCAGCTTCTGCCAACCTAGAAGTTCGAAAACATGCAAATGTGACTAAATCAATAGGTATCACTCTGACGGGAAGGTAACAGTGCTCCATGCAGCCATGCTGGCTACATTATCTTGGAGGTGTCTACGGACAACGCCAGCTCTTTGACTTAGAAATGGAGATGAGCACCAGCCCCCAGAGTCGAACCCAACTAGACTTAATGTCAAGGGGAAATCTTTCCCTTTACTTTATCACGAGGGTTAAAGTTTCCTCAGAAGTCATTTCAGTTCTCATATCTTATTGCACATATTTAGGGCTCATTATCGGAGAAAATGGGCCATTTAATTTTGCTCAGAATCAATACCAAACAGGTGTCAATTTAAAGCAAAGGCCACCCACCTAGGAAAGGGGTTTGGTTAATATACTTCTATCGCAGGTTATGTTTTTGCTTTTTATGTGTTGTTCGCTGCTTTGAGTCCCGACCCAGGAGAAAAGCGGGATAGAAATAAATAGTAAGAAAGGGCAAAGATTTCAAGGGCTAACATTATCTGCAAATGAAAGTTTTCCCTACATGTTTTAAATTTTCTATTGCTTTCTTCAGGGAATTCGAGAGGGAATATGTCAATCACAGCTGGATTCCCATTGGAGAGTGTACAGGAACCCAGATGACTCAGTGCAATATCACAGAAGACATTTTGGCCACTGTGCCATACAAACTGCGTGTTAAAGCGGTTCTTGGGATGCAGGCCTCGCGATGGGGCACTCTCAATGGCTTTTTCAACCGAGTCACAAGTAAGTGGCTTCATCCATGTCTCCTTATGTGATTGAAAGCCTCCTTTTGCATCTAACATTGTCCAGTTCAGCCTATTCATGGACTTCGTTTTCACTGAAATTTAGTGTAGTGTCAATACCTGGTACTATAAGGTAACTCAGAACCGCAATGTCCTGTCAAGCCATATTAATGCGGATCCCTGCCCAACTTGCCCTCTTCTTTATGGGTGATGCTATCAGATATCTCTCATAGTGCCCTGGAGCATCACACTGAATATTGTGTGATACTTTATAATTGAAGCTTTTTGTGTGTCAGGAGTGACTTGAGAAACAGCAAATCGCTTCTGATGTGAGAGAATTGGCCGCCTGCAAGGAAGTTGCCCAGGGGACATCCAGATGTTTCACCATCCTTGTGGGAGGCTTCCCCATGATAAATGGGAGCTGACAGACGGGAGCTCACCCCGCTTCTTGGATTCGAACCACTGACCTTTTGGTCAGCAGTCTTGCCGGCACAAGGGTTTAACCCATTGCATCACCGGGGACTCCACAATGAAAGCTTAAAGTTGCCTGTCACTCTTGCCGGAGAAACATGTGGGGAGCAGCATCAGTACACAGGAGCCCACCAAACCTGGAACTGGCTTTTACAGAGATGGAAAACATGTCTCTAATATGTGTAACTAGTGTATGTGGTGGCACAGCGGGTTAAACCGCTGAGCTGCTGTACTTGCTGACCGAAAGGTTGGCGGTTCGAATATGGGGAGCAGGGTGAGCTCCTGCTATTAGGCCCAGCTTCTTCCAACCTAGCAGTTCAAAAACATACACATGTGAGCAGATCAATAGGTATCGCTTTGGTGGGAAGGTAACAGTTCTCCATGCAGTCAATATGGCTACATGATCTTGGAGGTGTCTATGGACAACGCCGAAAATAAAATAGGAACAACTAATGGCTCATTCATGGAAGAAAGCACTATGAGATATCCACACCTGAACCGGGCTTTAGCACAGCAGGTTAAACCACCTGCTGCAGTAAATCTTGTCAGTTGAAAGTCTGCCAGTTTGAAGCCCGGCTCAGGGTGAGCTCCTGGCCTTTAGCCCAGCTTCTGCCTACCTAGCGGTTCGAAAGCAAATGTGAGTAGATAAATAGGTAACGATTAAAAGCAGGGAGATATTCTAAGGCATAGAGCTCCCTGGTGGCACAGCAAGTTAAACCACTGAGTTGCTGAACTTGTTGACCGAGAGGTCGACGGTTCAAATCCAGGGAGTGGGGTGGCTCCTGCTTTTAGCCCCAGTTTCTGCAAACCTAGTAGTTTGAAAGCATGCAAATGTGAGTAGATCAATAGGTACTGCTCTGGTGGGAAAGTAACGGTGCTCCATGCAGTCATGCCAGCCACATGACCTTGGAGGCATCTATAGACAACGTCGGCTCTTCGGCTTGGAAATTGAGAAGAGCACCACCCCTCAGAGCCAGACACGACTAAACTTAATGTCAAGGGAAACCTTTATCTTTACTAGTGTATATCTCCAGAACTCCCCAGTTCTTGGCCTACCTTTCAATGTTTCTGAGGCAATGTTCTGGAAAGGATTGGCTATTTTGATGTTGGCAAGCATTGGCTATTTTGATGTTGGTTGCTTTGTCCTTTGTACCACAAAGGCTCCTTTGTTTTGCTGCTGCTAGGTGACATGTGTATAAAGGGAAGAGAGAGAGGAAGGAAAGAGAGGAAAAAGAAGGGAAGGAGGGGAAAAGAAAGAAAAAGGAGGGAAGAAAGGGAAAGGAAAGGAGGAAAGGTATGAGGGGAGAGATGAAAAGAAAGAGAAGGAAGGGAAGAGAAAGAATAGAAAGATATACAGAGAGAAAGAAAGAGAAAAATGAGGGAAATGGAGTAAGTAAAAACAAGACCCACAAAGAGAGCCTGCCCACCATTGCCAGAGTATTGCCATGGAGACATTGTGAGATAGACCTTCTCAGAGCTGGAGAAGGGAGAAAGTAGGTGGGCAGTGATCCCAATTACAACCGGGTGGTGTCAGGTATATACACTGGTTCAGGTGTTTTGACCTACAGCTCCCAGAAATCCCAGCCAGTTTACCAGCTGTTAGGATTTCTGGGAGTTGAAGGCCAAGACATTTGGGGACCCACAGGTTGAGAACCACTGCACTAGTTTATGTATACACTCTCATTAGGGATTTATTATTATTATTATTATTATTATTTGCTGCAGTGTGGAATTTAAGCAAACAACAACTGGAGGTGAACATTTAAAAAACTGAAGTTGCTGTCAGGTTTGACAGGAAATGTCCTGGCAAATATTGTCCTAGCAAATTACAGGAATATTATTTTGGTATATTTTTTTAAACCATGAAATACAATCTTCAGCAACTTTTGTTCTTTCTAGAGGAGCCCCTCTTGTCTTCTCTGATACATTATCCCGTCACACACAGTAATTGCTTAACTATTCCTGGAGAAGGAGCCTAAGGGCCCCCATACATAGACACATACACAAACACATGCAAAAGACGTATTTCAAGTCTATGCAAGATTGTGAAATGCCGATCTCTGGTCTTGCAACCCAGTTTATTTACCCCTCTTCAGCCCTGAGGAACTTCTACTAGAAAAAACAAGAATGGGTTTGGGGAAATAGAAGGGAAATGTAATATGATGTCCTGCATGGATGTGAGTCAGAGAGTGTACCTCTGTACTGGAGAAGTTACTTTCTTGGACTAAACAGACTGGTATTTGAGATGTAGCAAGACTCTTTGCTGATATTTGTTGTCATGTATCTTCAGGTAGATTCCACCTTACAATAGAGAATATGGTTTACCCAAGGTCACCTAGAGAGTTTCCATGAGTTTCAAACCCTATGGATATTGCCCAGTCTTGTAATGACACCACCTGCATTATGGTTGGGAGCAAGCCAGCGTGACCTGAGGCTTCAGTGCATCTCAGTCATGGGAGCCAGAAGCCTATGTCAGTTTTGGATCTGCTGGAGCACAAAAACATGTCAGCACCTGTAACAAAGTACTGGAAGCACTGAAGGTGTTGCCTAGTGTTCCATTGTGGAGCTTAGTAATTTGCAAGAAAAGGAATTGTAATGTTACTGCTGCCAACAAAATCTAGGTCAAAGCCAGTGTTTCATGGTGCAAGTCAGAGACAGGAAAGATGAATTAATATATAAGTCAGTGTGTGTGTGTGTGTGTATCTATATAAATAAAAATGTAATGTTTGTTTGTGGGATTAACTTAACTCAAAAACCACTGGATGAATTGCCACCAAATTTGGCCACAAGACACCTACTAACCCAAGGAGTGACCATCACTCAAAAAATTAATTTTGTCATTTGGGAGTTTGAGTTGCTGGAATTTATAGTTCACCTACAATCGAAGAGCATTCTGAACTCCACCAATGATGGAATTGTACCAAACTTGGCACACAGAACTCCCATGACCAACAGAAAACACTAGAAGGGTTTGCTGAGCATTGACCTTGCGTTTGAGAGTTGTAGTTCACCTACATCCAGAGAGCACAGTGGACTTAAACAAACTTGGCACAAAGATTCCATATGGCCAAATATGAACACAGATGGAGCTTGGGGGAAATAGACCTTGACATTTGAGAGTTGTAGTTACTGGGATTTATAGTTCACCTACAATCAAAGAGAATTCTGAACCTCACCAAAAACAGAATTGGGACAAACTTCCCACACAAAAGCTCCATGACCAACAGAAAATACTTAAGACCATCAATTCCAACTCCCTTTACCAGGGCAAGAAAAAATAATCATAGCCCTCCTGACAAAGAGCCATCCAGCCATAGATATATATGATTCACAAACACACAGATATAATATCATAGATTTGAAAGGGACACCTAAAGAAGGACTATGATATTCCAGAGTAGGCAAACCAGACACTCTCCACATCAACACTGACAAAGAAACAACAAGAAATACTGTTTACCCACAAGCATAAAGAAATTACATATATTAGAAACCAACACTTTCTCATTACTTTATTTTCCAGATAACCAGACTGGGCCACAGCAACCTATGGCAGGGGACAGCTTGTGTGCATGTGCGTTGATTTGTACCACAAAGGCTCCTAAGATATTTTGATGGATCTGGACCAAACTTGGCACATATACACTTCACTATCCAACTTAAAATAAGGAGGTTGAATGAAGAGAACTATCCCTATTGGGCCCAGAGTTGAAGGAAATAAAAGGAATTAAATGGATTGAATGTGGTTAGGTGAAGTGGCTCTTTTGTGATGTCACTGGAAAAGAAAGGGAGTGAAGTGGCTTAGCTCCTGCTAGGTGTCATGTGTATGAGAGAAAGGGAGTAAGGAAGGAAAAAAACAAAAGAAAAAGAAGGGAAAGAAAATAAGTGAGAAGGGAGGGAGAAAGAAAAAGGAGGGAAGGAAGAAGGGAAGAGAAAGGAAAGGAGGGAAAGTATGAGAGGAAAGAAAAAGAAAAAAATGGAAGAGAAAGGATGGGAAGAAAGAAGGGACAAAGCAAGGGAGGAATTAAAGAAAAAGAATGCAACAGAAAGGAAAAAACAGAAGAGTGGGAAGGCGTATGAGGGAAAGCAAGGGAAGAAAAGAGAGAGGGAGAAAGAATATGAGGGAAATGGAGGAAGGAAAGAAAGTACCACAAAGAGAGCCATCTCACCATTGCCAGAGCACTGCCATGGAAACATTGTGAGGTAGCCCTTCTAAGAGCTAGAGAAGAAAGAAAGAAGCGGGGCAGCCAGGCTACACCAGTTATATGCGCTTGTTTCTGATACATAATTTAGACCACAAAAATTGAACATCTGTCTGGCAAATGTTACTAGCCAAAGGGTTGTTGTAGGTTTTTCGGGATGTATGGCCATGTTCTAGAAGTATTATCTCCTGACGTTTTGCCTGCATCTATGGCAGGCATCCTCAGAGGTTGTGAGGTCTGTTGGAAACTAGGAAAATTGGGTTTATACATCTGTGGAATATCTAGGGTGGGAGAAAGAACTCTTGTCTGTTGGAGCTAGGTGTTTTTCAGTTGGCCACCTTGATTAGCCTCTGATGGCTTGACAGTTTTTTTGGTGTGACTTGTTATGCCTGAGGGAATCCTTTGTTGAGAGGTGATTAGCTGTCCCTGATTGGAACTCCAATTGAAACACTCACACCTAGTTCCAACAGACAAGAGTTCTTTCTCCCACCCTGGACTTTATGCATTTCAGACTTGGGAAATAGATTCATTATATAAAAGGATAAAAGTTATACAGAAAGAAATAGATAACGAGGTAGCTGCTTGATCCTAGTTTTGTGGTTTTGTCTTTGGGCGTCTGAGCATGGAGATGATGGGATTATATAAATGTCTTTTCCCAGGCCAGCCAAACAATGTTGAAATGGTCAAAGCCTCCTTTGTCCCTGAGTCATACCCAGGAGCTGGTTCTAGTGTGGCACAATATCTGGATGCAGAGGCCAATGTCTCTTGTCTCAGAAGTAAAATGGAATATATTTAATAAAATGGAACCAAGTGGAATAAAATATAGTTTATGGTTAGGCGGATATAGGAGAGAAGAAAGGTCTGGGAGTGGTGGGACTTCATGCAAAATACAGGATGTCGCTTTATCTCATTCTAGCTTGTTGCCCTTTTTGTTATGGGTGGGGTTAGCGGTGTTCCATAACAATTCTAATAAATAGCATTACATAATAACTAACCTGGGCAACTCTGGGTACATAAGTTAGTCCTTTATAAAATGGGACACATCAACAGCAAGGCCCCGTAGAAACTGTTATGGTTCCCTGGGCTGATATGTAACAAGCATTCCTTCCTGTTTTGGGGGATTTCTGCATTGTAACATGACAGATATTACTCTTTTTTTTTCTACAGCCTCCCTCATTCCACCTCTGTTGAATGTTATAGCAGATGGATATCATTTGCTCGTGGAGTTAGAACATCTTGGACCTGCCTTTGAATTTAGAATATTTTACTGGAGAAAGGGCCAACATGAGGTACATTTTGGTCTTGTGTCGGAAATGAAAACTCAGTGGTCAGCACACTAAGGAAATGGGAGTATTTTGTCTTCAGATAGATCTCCACTACACAATTACATTAATTTCATACCACTCCGGATTTGTCTCAACTCCATTCTAAGAAAGGGTTTTTAAAATTTTAATCTACATCTGGCCCTGCCATAATGTTTTCAAATCTTTTGTGTGTTATTGCTTATATGTTCAGCTGTATTATTTATATTGCTTTATTTGCTTGCTTGTTTGTTGATGTATTGTTGTATTTGTATTTGACGGGTTTGGCCTCATGTAAGCCGCCCCAAGTCCCTTCGGAGAGATGGTGGCCGGGTACAGATAAAGTTTATTATTATTACTATTATTATTATTATTATTATTATTATTATTAGTTTGAAGAGGCACTTATACTACTGTGTCAAAGTTCATTGCCCTGAGCTCTAAGCTTTTATCTACACTGGAGAATTAATTGAACTGATTTAATCTTCAGTCCTTTCCTTCTGAGGGTATCTTGGGGGGTATCTTGGGAATAAGGTTCAGGGTAGCGGACTAAAGGTTGGTAGCAGAGAATCCTAAGGGCCACCAAACTATACATCTCAGAATTCTTTAGGCTGAAGCCATGACACTTGAAGTGGTATGAAACTGATATAATTTTATAGTACAAATATACCATGGCAATGTGTGAAACAGTAAATAACTTCAAGTATGAACTTCTCAGTTGCAAGATGAGAACAAAGCACCATTGCTAACATGTTATGTCTGTTATGTTTAGGGAGCTGGTTGGTTTAATTATTTCATTAAAAGGTGACATTGTGAAAATACAAAATAGCATGAAATATGCTATCCTAGTAGCTGCCCCAAACTAAATCACATTTCCTGGGCTTTCCAGACAGGCCCTATACCCAGGATCTGATCTCAGGATTTCTGCTTTGAACTGGATTATATGAGTCCACACTGCCAGATAATCTGGGATAAACAGAAAACCTGGGATCAGATCCTGGGATATACAGCCTGTCTGGGAGGGCCCTCTGTTTCCTTCAGAAAACTCCCAAGAAACTTTGGTCTTCATAATAATGTACAATTACAACATTTTGATACCACTTTAGCAGCCATGACTAGGAAAACCTGGGATTTGTGGCTTGTCAAGGTACCAGAGCTCTCCTGCAAAGGAATCTAAGTACAAAGCTACAAATCCCAAGATTTCACAGAACAGTTCTGGCAGATAAAGTGGTATCAAATTACTGGAACGGTGTAGTGAGAAAGATATTTTACCTTTATCTTTCTAAGCTTCAGAAACTGTACAAAATTCTGCTCTCTATATACATAAGAGTCAAAGTATGTATGTTTATTGCTTTGTACCACAAAGGCTGTTGTTAGGTGAAGTGATCCTCTGGTTTCACTGAATTATCTGTTGCTAGGTGAAGTGTCTGTCTGTAATGTCACTGGGAAAGAATGGTGACATGTGTATGAGGAAGGAAGGGAAAAAGAAAGGAAATAAAGGAAATGAGATGGAGGGGGAGAAAGATAAAGGAGGGAAGACAGGAAGGAAGGAAAAGAAAGGAAAGATATGAGGGAAGGGGAAAAGGTCTGAGGAGAGGAAAGGAAAGAAGAAGGACGGACAGACGGACACAGGAGGGGAGTCGTCCCTCTGACATCTGGGCTACACTGGATATATACAATAGTATTTTATAATGGGCAGTTGATGTTTGGAATTAAGTGAGGGGAGATTTTTAATTTACTACTGTAATTTCCTATAATTCCATCCTAGTTTGTAGTTGCTACTTTGATAAAGCCCGGGTAAATAAATATGTAATTTAAACAAAAACTAGCTCATTTTTATACTACCTTGAAATTCTATCATAATAAGCCAGGATTTCGCCAACAACCACCAACAGTGTTCCAGAGAATACTGATCAGCTTTCCTGGGCTGCTCCAGGCAATGACAATGACCAAAATTACCAATAAGCCAATCTTTATCTCTGGTTTGATTCAAATTATATCTCTTTGAATTCCCATCTTCCTGTTCTCATACCAACCCAGAATCACAAACCAAGATTTCTTCTTGGCCTTTTGAGACTGGCTTGTTTAGAAAGGAAGAAATCAAGGATCCTGGTTTAGATGTACCCAAATAAATCATAACATAAGGTTACTCAGTTTCTTTAGCTACTGCTGCAGGCATAAGAAACCAAACAATTGTGATTGGAGAGTGTGTTTCCTTTTTCATGGCATCTAGTAAAGACCAGTGTATATACCAGGTGTCAGAGCAGTCATTGCCCGCATGCTTTCTCCTCTTTCCTGTTCTGAGATGGTCTATCTCAAAATGTCTCCATGGTAATGCTCTATAATGGTGGTCAGGTTCTCTTTGTGGCTTTTTGTTTCTTTCCTCCATTTTATTTATTTATTTACGACATTTATATGCCGCCCTTCTCACCCCGAAGAGGACTCAGAGCGGCTTCCAAGATATATATATATATATATTCATACAAATATATTATATTATTGGTACAATATCAGTAATATATATATCACAACAATACCATTATATTGTAAAATTATTAGTAATATTACATGTAATATAAAATATATAATTATATCATATTATTATTAGTATTATATTGTATTTCCCTCATACACCTTCCCCCCTTCCTTCTTTCCCTCCTCCCTCCCTCCCTTTTTTCTTCCCTTTCTTTCTCTTCCTTTTCTCTTTTTCTTCCCTTTTCTCATACCTTTTTATTTTCTTTCTCTTCCTTCCTTACTTCTTTCACTCCCTTTTCTCTCCCGCTCTTCCTTCTGCCTTCCTTTTCCTTCCCTTCTTTCCTCCTCTCTCCTATCTTTCCCTCTTTCCTTTCTCTTCTTCCTCCCTCTCTTTGCTTTTCTTTCTTTCTTCCTCCCTTCCTTCCTCTCCCTTTTTTCTATTTTTTTTCTTTCCATCTCCCTTCCCCTCATGCACATGTCACATAGCAACAGGCAATGTGCTTCACTCCCTTTTCTTCCCAGTCAGATAACAGAGGGCCACTTCACCTAGCCACAGCCAAAATGATTCTGGTTTTGTTGTTGTTGTTGAAACCTCTCGGTTATTTTAAGTTGGATAGTGAAGAGTATGTGTGACAAGTGTGGTCCAGATCCATCAAGCCATGTACAACCCTTAGTGGTATAAACCAACCATTCAACCAACCAACATACATACATACATTGACTTATAGAAGGTGGTGATGATGGCGATAATGATAATGATGGGAGCTCAGTATATGTAGAGGTCAGCTACAATTCCAATGCAGTGATGCACACCATGTTGCCAAGGATTGCTATCATGTTTGGAAACCCCTTTCACCCTGGATTTTGCAAAAGCAGATGCGACGCAAAGTGGTGAGAGACAGCAGCACAGCTGTACATCTGGGGACTATGGAAGCTGAAACCGAATACTGCGTGAAAGCCCAAACATATGTTGAGGCCATCAATCGAAGCAGCAATTTCAGTGAGGTGCAGTGCGTGAGAGCTGGAGGTAAAAACAAAAAAAAAAATAGAATTTGAGACTTCCTTCTAGGCTCATCTTTTGCTTAATATAGGAAACTTAGGCATAGATCATCCCCCTAGAAAATCTCCAACAAGGAAAAACCTATTCTGGATCTGTTATTGAATTGCTTTTACTATATTGAAAAGAAGAAGGGAATAGCTGGCCTCCAAACCTAATCTGGCCAATAACTATCCCAGACTGGTTTATAAATGGTCTAGAGGTCCAGTGGAATCAAACTCATTTTCACCAATGGCCACATCAACCTATGATTGCCTTCAAAGGGCCACTTGTAATTGTAAGACCATATAAATATAACTACATTTCCCTGGCATTGAAAGCCTTGCAGGCCACATAATATGGCATGGTTTGCTAGATTCATCCCATGGGGCCTTACATCTGACATGGGTGACATCTAGGAGATACTTCCCTGCAAAGCCACACCCCTGCTGAACCCCCTTCTCACCTGCATTGCACTCAGTACCTACGAATACAGATGTTATCTCCAAGTAGGGATTGGAAATAATAGTGATTCCTCCCTATCAGTGCTCACTCTTCCAGTTGGGAAGGCCAGTTTTCCCCGATGCTCTCTAGTCTTCTGTAATATCTGACCAAAAAGAATAGCAGGAAGCTTTGGCTGAACTGTGTGCCTCCTGGTGAGATGACAGTACAGGGCAGTATTAGTTGCCCAGACCTGCAGCCAGGGAAATTGTGATGTCATGGGTTGGCCACATTGCAATATCTACGTATATCCCTTGTTGTCTGGCCCACTCAGGGTGAAGAACTGATCTTGGGTCCTAAATCAGATTCTCAATCCATTTGGCTCACTTAAGGCTTAGGATCTAACCCAGGAGCCTGGATCAGGTGTTCACCCTGGTTCTCAATTGATATCTACTCTTCTGTAACTTAAGCCCATTTCAAGTTAGCTCTTTCTTCCTGGAGCAGCAGCGAATAAGTATTTGAACGCATATTTGGTATATTATAGTCAGGTATATGGAGAGTAGAAAAGAAGCACCACTGTGCTTTTCCTTCATCTCTTTTCTAGGCTCAACATAACACATTCCTTCATCCAGATTCCTTTGTAAAATTTATTTTCTATTACTTCTTTGTTTACATCCCCAGAACCCATCTCAGTTATTATCCAAATGTGATTCTCTGTGATGAGTGGTGGTACTCACATATTATACATTTAATATTTATTGCAATCTACAAGATAATTAAATGTTCATCTTATGGGAAGGTTTTCACATCTAACAAACCTTCTACACAGCATATTGCTAAGATAACATGCATTTTGGAATGTTCCTAATGCTAATACCCAAACTTCAACTTACTTAAGCATGGTCAAAGACCACTTTATCAACATGGAAACAGGGATTTTCTGCATTCTGTACTATGTCAAGTTCAGTGACAGTTGTGGACAAGGTGCAGATTAAAACATTTCCTGGGAGGCTGAGCAGGATGTATTTGTCACTCACTCACACACACACAGAGCAACTCTTAACAGTGGCTGTCCAGATCTTCAGAAGTCCCTTAGGATTTCTTCTCAGAAGCAGGAGAGACATCTATATACAAAACATTGCTCTTTGCCATAGTCCCCCTAAAAAAAAAAAAGCCCAGAAATGTATGCAACATATGGGGGTTCTGTGACAGATAACCAGACATTTAAAAAGTTTTCTGGTAATGAAAAATCTGAAAAGTAGTTTTGAAGTGCAAGTCACAGAAGGACTTGTGGTAAACATACAATTGGTTTAAAACAAGTGCAGATATGTAATGTAATTCCTTGATTCTCAAGCACATTTCCTTCATATAAACCAATGAAAAAAAGGATATGTCTTAGAATCATACATGTGCATGCATATATATATATATAGAGAGAGAGAGAGAGGGAGTTGGTGGTACTGAAATTAGTGTGTGTCTTACAATTTATGGCATTTTAGAATGGAAGGAATACAATAATTTCAAGCATTTAATTTACTACTTGGGGAAACTCCTTTTTAAAAACTACTTTTTGCATACTCCATCCCAATTAGTAGCCATGACTTGTAGTTTTAAAAAGGTTAATGTTCAAAACTCTAACTGGTTACTATACTCTTTTCTCAAATATTGTCACTGGCAAATTTCTTGTATTTTTCTGCAATCCTAGTAACTGCATTCTCTTTTATGTCCAGATGGCAAAGGAATATGGGCAACATTTGCCCCACTCTTCTTGGTCATATTTATTCTATCCGCTTTGTTGTTTCCTTGGGTTATATGGAAAATCTGCCGGATCTGCCAGTATTCCTGCTGCCCAAACGAAAACATGCCAGACACTTTGGTAAGAAATGTTCGGAGCACTTCATCCTTTAAAGCTTGGGAAATTCTGGGAGTTGTAGTAAAAATATAACTTTCCCAATGCTTGCTTTATTATTTTCCTCCTAAGCAAGTAGAAGTGGTACCCTTATCCTGTTTTAATAAGCTCCTGGCTGGTCATGGGCCTCCAATGAAATTTAATGGTGAGAGACTAGGGGTGCGACTACACTGTGGAATTAATGCAGTATTACACCACTTTAATATCCATGGTTCAATGATATTGAATCATAAGAATTGTAGGTTTACATGATCATTAGCCTTATCTACCAAAGAGTGCTTCTGCTTCCCCAAACTACAACTTTCAGGATTCCATAGCATTGAGTCGTATCAGTTAAAATGGTGTCAAACTGCATTAATTCTACAATGTTGATGCACCCTAGGATAGATAAAAGGACCTTTTCACATGATTAAAATGATAGAATTTGCTACCCCAGAATATACCAATGTCCACAAATATGGTTTTAATATGATCCTGTATGATCAGCTACCGGGGGACAGAAGTGGGAGACTACAGCACTGATTTTATACCTGCAGGCTTTCCAGATGTATCTGGTTGTGCACCATGTACATTGAATGCAATCTAGGTCTTTTGTATGATTCAATTTTAGCAGAGTCTCTATTTCTGTTACCTGGAGCATGATTGAAATGCATGATCTGTGATTGGTCTTTCACTTGATGCACGCAATCAGATTTGAACATTATTTTCCTATTAAAATAGTACAAACCAATTGTTTTTCTACAAAAATCATTTTTTTTTCTTTTTATCTTAGCCTAGCATATATATCCAGTGTTGCTAGGTTTTTGGAGGGGCCACTGCTACCCTTCTTTCTCTTTCCCTTTCCCCATACTGTTCCCTCTTTCTCCCTTCCTTCCTTTTCCTTTCATTCTTTCTTTCACACTCCCACCCTTCCTAGGTGTTGCCAGGTGAGGACGACAGCATCTGTGGTACAGGCTCTTTGACTGTTGCAAGGTGAATTGGCCTTTTGTGGTGTCATTAGATTGGCTATGGCTAGGTGAAGGATTGGCTACTAAGCTGGAGAAGGGTGGAACAGGACAGGAAGGAAAGAGGAAAAAGGAAGGGAAGGAAGGGAGAATGAAAAAGGAGGAAAGAGAGAAGAAAGGGGGAAAAGATAGATAGGGAAGAGAGATAGAATAGATGAAAGCAGTGATTCCTCCGACACTTGTGCAACACAAGGTATATACGCTAGTAGATAGATATAAGCAGCTGTAGCTCTCCATACATCCATACCCTCACCAGCACTAGCCAGCGTATGCAATGGTGGGAGCGGATAGAAACTTGAGTCTATCAGCCTCTGGCAGTCCATAATTGGCACTGAGAGGCATTAGAGGCTGCACCTAAGAGTCACATACAGCTCACTATGATATATTTCTGTCACTTTGCCTTCTCCAATGACAGAAGAATATTACATTGTTTTAAAGTTTGCCTTTTGTGACTGTGAGGTGGATAAGAGTGTCTTGCACTATAAGCCAAGAGCATGTAGCATTTTCTCTCTCTCTCTCTCTCTCATACAACTCCTCCTTACATACAGTAACCATTTGGGTTACTTATGAAAAACATGAAAGTAAAACATGGGACTTAATTTACTGAAATTGCAACTATAACAATACCTAACTATTTGTGTAGGGCTTGGAACTAAACTACGTTTTTGCCTTTTAGAATATTTTTGAAGTTCTGGCACAATCTGGTACTTTGTTTTTCTGCAACAGAGTGAACGTTTCCCCCGATTAAGCAGCTTTCTTTCCTCTTCCAGAAACTAACAGGATCACCTGCTAGGATGCTAAATTACAAGGGAGAGGAGATCGAGAAGTGCGATGAGTTTGTGCAAGTGCTGCCCCCTGAAGAGTTTCTTCTCCTTTTGGATTCATGAAAACCTTTCACATCACACACAAGACGCAAACTGCAAAATAAGAGCTCAGTCTCTACCTTCATCTTTGCAAAGCCAAGCTGGGCACACACAACTTTTCTGTATGAGAAGGATCAGGTTGCTTTCTTTGAAAGAAAAAGTGCCACATGGTAAGCCAGACTACAGTTCAGGTGCACAAGATTTTAGGAGGAAAGTCGGTGCAAATCTACTATCTCCTGTTGACAGAGAATAGAAGCCACCATGTGAAAGAAACATACACAATGATCATAAATATTTGTTGTCATCTGCTGAACTAAGATGTTGGGATGTTGGTTGTTCAGGATGACAATGTTTTGTATACAGAAGAATAGTCTTGGTAGAAGACAAATGTCAAAATCTACATTGATGTTGATTTTGAAGGACAGATCGCTGGCAATGAGCAAGAGATAGACATCTAGGGATGAAGTGCGGGTTGTGAAGAACATAATTTGCATACATGTCGTACAGGTTCAGTTCTTTGCATAGACATTTAAAAAGGTCACATAGCAGGTGATGTAAAAGAGATCTTGTCTGAGATTATGGAGAGTTAGTGACTGGGATAAATGGGATAGAGTCTGAATTGGTATAAAACAGCATCCTATATTCTGCATAACTAATATTTCCAGTAAACTGCATGTAGATTAATATTCTTCATAGGCATTCTTCCATCACAGACAAGAAGACTGTTTGGAAATGGGATATTTTATTGATGAGCTCACATGGCCACTGATTAATCTTCATGTGTAAATTGGTTTCAACAGACAGGTCATTGTTACATTTAACTCTTGCAGATTACAACCACAAGGAAGTAAAACAAAACTGATCTTTACAATACCCACTTGGTAAAGAACAGCAATTAGGAACTTGAAAACAATTTCAAGTAAAACTATTTCTGGGACAGAGTTTACGCCAGAGGTTGGGAAGATCTGATCCTCCAAAAGTCTCCCACCCTGGACATTCCACAGATATATAAACCCAATTTTCCTAGTTTCCAACAGACCTCACAACCTCTGAGGATGCCTGCCATAGATGCAAGCAAAACATCAAAAGAGAATGCTTCTAGAACATGGCCATATAGCCCGAAAAACCTACAACAACCCAGATCCTCCAAATATTTGGGGTTACAGCTTCTAGAATCCTTTAGCGTTGACCATGCAGTTTGGCTCTGAAAATTGTAGGCAAAAACATCCAGAGTTAAATGACCCACAATTTTAAATGAAAATGTATAGAAATTTTGTATGGGATTTTTAAAAAAAACAGGCATTGATATGCTTGGAAAATATGTTTGTAAAACTGAAATGTTCTAACATGTGATGTGGTTGTTCTTGTGTGCCCTTAAGTCATTTTCAGTTTACAGTGACCCTAAGGCAAACCTGCAGTGGGATTTGCTCAGAAATTGTTTACCATTGCTTTTGATAATCAGTACACAAATGATCACCCATCTGTTTTTTATATATTTTGATTTCAGTCAATAAACAACTATAAAATCTTATGTAATGGTCTTTGTTTATGAAATATATTTTATATACTTTAGTCAATTCTAGTTTGCTATGTGACCAATGAAAAGGCATAAAAGGCATTATGTAATATGGACAAGTGGTGTTGCTGCAGACAGATGTGGGAATTGAAAGAAAGCACTAGCAGATCTCAGTAGGGAATTTGCATGCAGTTCCTACTCGGTAAATCCCACAGCAAATCTGGGAAAACCAGGTTGTGTAATAGTACTATTACAAGAATAAACTAGGGTTGCCACATTTTCCTTTCCGTTTCTCTCCACACAAGATAGGCTTTCCACAAATATAGCATTTCTCCAAGGACTGGCTCTAGAAAGATGTTAAGCAAATTTCTACCTGTTACCCAAGCTGATCATTCTTTAAACAAAAGCAACCTGTTTCAAGGAAAGGTGGTTCAGTTCACTTTTGAGGGGGTAGGGTTCACTAGATTCTTTTTGCACTGTCTGCCAGGGCTTTAATTGTGGTTCTGGAGGAGATGTAGTTTTAAAAGGAAATTTTCAGAGATGTTCCCAATGCCCATATGTTTTGATTTACTGCCATATTGGCCTGTTTCTGCAGTAGGCCTTTGTTTACAGAAAATGCTGACCGTTTGAGAAAATAGTGCTGCGAAGGGTAACAGTACATCCAGACAAAACCAGCTAGCTAGTGGATACCTAGAACCCTCTAGTTTACCAGGCCCTCTGGAATTATGTTTGAAACAGACTGTACAGAAGTGATTATAATAATATGATTATAACTGTATTTATGTTTGCATTGGTTGCCCTAAGGCTGGAGCGGCCTAGCTGTGAGGAGTGTGTTACCATGGAAACGATGCTGCAGAGGAGTGGGAGGAGCTTAGAGAAGGGTGTTTTTGAAAAGCGACAGTTAAGAGTCAGTCAGGTTAGGGACTCTGAGAAAGGAAGAGTCAGGTTAGGGACTCTGAGAAAGGAAGAGTCAGGTTGGAGACTCTGAGTCAGGAAAGAGACAGTGTTAGTGAATAGTCAGAGATTTCTTCAGTTAGGAAAGCTGAGGAGGAAAACCTTATTCGTTTCTTTAGTTAGAAAGAACTAACAAAGGCTTGTTTAGATCCCTAGTTAAAAGAACTAGAGATCTGGTGTTTGATCATAGAAGAATCAAACGGGGAGACTATTCACCACAGTAAAACATTGTTTATTGAAGTGCTTCACCACAGCAAGAGTTTTATAAGTTGTAACATCGAAAGTCTGAACTGTATCACAACCAAGTTACATGTATCGTGCTCTAAGTATTTGCCAAGCTTAACATCAAACTGCAACCATACGCTTTGTTTCAAATAAACTTGTTCTCTTTAGTTTTTAAAACTGCCTCACCTCCATTTATTCTACGCTCGGTGTACCCAATCTATCATAATTACCTCACAACACAAATAGGGTGGCATCCAGTGGTATTAATACAGAAGCCTTTTACAATTTGGTGCCGGCTTGTAGTGGACTCCTTTGCACAGACTAACAGATATGATTAATTCATTAGGACAGTCATGGTCAGAAACAATAGACTATAGTTGTACTACAGTTGTTAGGGTCCCACATGTGATATGTCAATCAAAATCATAAACAACCAATGAGCACCTGTAAAGCTAGCTTAGACCAATGAAATGATTTGTCTGTGGGAACCAATGAGAATGTGTATGCCAAAAATGATAAAAGCTCTGCAGACAAACCTTTGATTGCATTCCTATGTGCATGTTTGTTGATACAGTATTCTCTCGCTACTTCGTGGTTTGCTTTTAGCGGACTCGCTGTTTTGCGGTTTTTCAATAAATATTAATTTAAAATATATATCGCGGTATTTTTGCTGTTTCATGGGTTTTTGCTGCCATCGCACTCCAACACACTTTCCCTCCTCGGTCCTTTCTCCCTTGAAGGGCCTTTCCTTCCTTCGTTCTCTCTCTTCACCTGGTGAAGGGAAAGGCGAGGAGGGCTTGCTTTCTTTCCTTCTTTGCCACCGCACTGACAGGGAGGCAGGTACGGGGAGCCCCGGGGGGAGAAGGAGGAAACCTCATGCACAGCTACCCATGCGAAAGATTCAGGAGTGTTTTAAAAGAAACAGGTACAGTACATGTACTGTACAGAACAGTGTGGGAAAGGTTATTAAGGGAAAGGATTATGTAGTGTATACGTTTGTGGGGAGGGTTTATTTTAAGTTTATAAAGACTTTAAAAAGTGTAGGTAAAAGGTAAAGGTTGTCCCCTGACATTAACTCCCCTAAGTTTGGGCATTTGGAGTGCCCCCCCCCCCCCATCGGTGCACCTTCACTTCTTTTTTGACTTGGGTGATGGTTGGAGTTTTTATATAGGTATCTATCTGTGTGATTTTGGCAATTGGACTGATTGATAAATGGCAAATAGAGGGAGCAAACGTGGAGGCAGTGACAGACTTTGTATTTCTAGGTGCAAAGATTATTGCAGATGCAGACTGCAGTCAGGAAATCAGAAGACGTTTACTACTTGGGAGGAAAGCAATGACCAATCTCAATAAAATAGTGAAGATTAGAGACATCACGCTGGCAACCAAGATCCATATAGTTAAAGCAATGGTATTCCCTGTAGTAACCTACGGATGTGAGAGCTGGACCATAAGGAAGGCTGATAGAAGGAAGATAGATGCTTTTGAACTGTGGTGTTGGAGGAAAGTTCTGAGAGTGCCTTGGACCGCGAGAAGATCCAACCAGTCCATACTCCAACTGCTCACTGGAGGGAAGGATATTAGAAGCAAAGATGAAGTACTTTGGCCACATAATTAGAGGAGAGGAAAGCTTGGAGAAGATCATGATGCTGGGAAAAATGGAAGGAAAAAGGAAGAGGGGCCAACCAAGGGCAAGATGAATGGATGGTATCCTTAAAGTGACTGGCTTGACTCTGAAGGAGCTGGAGGTGGTGACGGCCAACAGGGAGCTCTGGCGTGGGCTGGTCCATGAGGTCACGAAGAGTCGAAAGCGACTGAACAAATAAACAACAACAAAATTAATATATGTGCTAGCACTTGGTATTGATCGTGCTTCCTGCAGTGGGGCAACAAATACTCCGTCACACTCTGGAAGCCATGGTTTAATTATTTCAGGATTTGAGGTCCTTTGAATGATATGACACTTATTTGCCTGCTTGCTCTGCCTCTTTAGCTCCAGTTCTCCCCAATAGAAATATATCTTCTATATAAATAAAAATGTAATGTTCGTTTGTGGGATTAACAACTCAAAAACCACTGGACGAATTGACACCAAATTTGAACACAAGACATCTATCAGGCCAATGAGTGACCACCACTCAAAAAATTGAGCTTGTCATTTGGGAGTTATAGTTGCTGGGATTTATAGTTTACTTACAATCAAAGAGCATTCTGAACTCCACCAATGGTGGAATTGAACCAAACGTGGCACACAAAACTCCCACGACCAACAGAAAATACTGGAAGGGTTTGGTGGGCATTGACCTTGAGCTTGGGAGTTGTGGTTCACCTCCATCCAGAGAACACTGTGGAGTCAAACAATGATGGATCTGGACCAAACTTGGCACGAATATTTCATATACCCAAATATGAACACAGATGGGAGTTTGGGGGAAATAGACCTTGACATTTGGGAGTTGTAGTTACTGGGATTTATAGTTCACCTACAATCAAAGAGCATGTTGAACCCCACCAACAACAGAATTGGGGCAAACTTCCCACACAGAACCCCCATACTTAAGGCCATCCAGTCCAATTCCCTTCACCAGGAAGGCTTTGTAATCAAAGCCTTCCTGACAAACAGTCATCCAGTCATAGATATAGATAGATATATATGATTCACACACACACACACACACAGATGTAGTATCCTAGATTTGAAAGGGACCCCTAAAGAAGGACAATGATATGTTTCCTGTTACAGAGTAGGCAAACCAGACAATCTCTACATTAACACTGACAAAGAAACAGCAAGAAATACTATTTACCCACAAGCAGAAAGAAATTACATATATTAGAAACCAACATTTTCACATTACTTTATTTTCCAGATCACCAGGCTGGGCCACAGCAACGCGTGGCAGGGGACGGCTAGTATGAGATATAACTAATAGAAATGGGGAAAATGGAAGGAAAAAGGAAGAGGGGCCAATCAAGGGCAAGATGGATGGATGGTATCCTTGAAGTGACTGGCTTGACTGAAGGAACTGGGGGTGGTGACGGCTGACAGGCTGGTCCATGAGGTTACAAAGAGTCGGAAGCGGCTGAACAAATAAGCAACAACATCTATATGTGTGGGTTTTCTGTAAACTCTGTGACTCAACTATTGATTGGATTTGCGACCGTACCTCGCGAAGGCTGATCTGGCCGGGGTGGTCCATGCCTTGGTCACCTCTAGATTGGACTACTGCAATGCGCTCTACGTGGAGCTGCCCTTGAAAACGGCTCAGAAGTTCCAACTGGTCCAACGAGCAGCGGCCAGGATGTTAACTGGGGCCCCTTACAGAGAGAGGTCAATCCTGTTCAAGGAGATCCACTGGCTGCCGTTTATTTTCCGAGCCCAATTTAAGGTGCAGGTGCTTACCTACAAAGCCCTGAACGGTTTGGGACCATTCTACCTGCATGACCGCATCTCCGTCTACGAACCGACGCGCTCACTTCGGTCAGCTGGAGAGGCCCTGCTTGTGATCCCGCCTGCTTTGACAAGCGCGTCTGGTGGGGACACGAGACAGGGCCTTTTCTGTGGTGGCCCCCCAACTCTGGAACACCCTCCCCAAAGATCTTAGACAGGCCCCTACATTGGCAGTCGTTAGAAAGAACCTGAAGACCTGGCTGATCCGATGTGCCTTCCCAGAATAGGAAATCTCCAATACCAAGTCCCATAAGCACTTTATTAAAACTAAGACTGCCACACACTGCACTTGCCATATAAGCCTTATATACCACCCGTCACATCAGCACTTTTAATCCTGTACCCATTACTCTGGCCCGGCCCAGTTTTATTGTGTCTTAGTGTATTGTTTGTTGCTTGTTGTTTATATTGCTTTAATTGTTTTTAATTTGCCTTTGGTTTGTATTGTTGTATTGTGCGTTGAGGCCTTGGCCTTTGTAAGCCGCATCGAGTCCTTCGGGAGATGCTAGCGGGGTACAAATAAAGTTTAATAATAATAATAATAATAAAATAATAATAATAATTTGCAGATAACGACTATGACATTTAGAAATGGCAGTTTTCCTTCCATTTTCTTTTTCCATGGATGCTTGGGTGGATGCTGCTGAGGTGGTCCAGGAACTTGTTCAGTTTTTTCTCCATTTTCTCTGGTTATCCCTTCTATTCCAATATCATAAGCGCTGGTTGTTTCCAAAATGGCAGCATGGGTGGGGAGAATTAACAGGAAAACGAGGAAATGGTTTCACTCCTTCAGCCCCTCCCTCTCCCCCTCCCTCCCTTGGAAAATGGGTTCTCCTTCTCTCTCTCTCTCTGGCGCCTCCTTGTGGCCTCCCCCTCAGATAGTGAAACTAGCCAAAGTTATTATAATAACGGACATTTTGTAAATGTCGCTACAGTTTTCCATTTCTCTGTGGCGACTTTTGGGGCGCCTTGTATTCACAGAAGCGCCAGAGCAGACACAAACAGCCATGGGCCTAATCTGACCTTCCAGCTGGAAACGGAACAAAGATGGCGCCGACTTCAACAAGCAAACGGCAGCGAAAAGGCCTGGAATTGAAAGCCCGCACAGCGCATGCGTAGAACGCTCGACGTCAGTTGAGGCGGACTTACGTTACCCCGCCCCCTCCCCGGCCTGCGCACGCACTTCCGGTGCGCCAAGGGATCCTGAGCGCGTGGGGCTCTGCGTGCTTGCACTTCCGGTCTTGGAATTTCAGGCGCGTGTGGCGTTCGTGCGGTCTGTGATCGGCAAGCAAGATGAGGCCCGGTGAGAACGAGGAGAGGGAAGGAAGGAGGGGAGCCCTTAAGGCCGGAGGGAGGGAAGGAGGCCCCGAGAGGCCGCCCGGAGCCCGGCTTGACGTCTACCTTGTGCTCGTCCTGCAGGTTTCAGCCCTCGCGGGGGACGTGGGGACCGCGGAGGACGCGGCGGCTTCGGGGATCGTGGACGCGGAGGCTTCCGAGGAGGTCGAGGTGGGTTTCACGCTCGGTTTATTTTCAGTCCAAGCTGCCAGAAGTTCCTTTTTTGGATTACTCCAAAGTTTGTAGTAGGCGCAGTAACCTGCAGAAAGTTCTTCCTCGTGTTTAATTCTTCTTCTTATTATTATTTATTTATTTATTATGTATTTACTTCATTTGTATACCGCTATTCTCAGCCCTAAGGCGACTCATGGCGGTTTACAACAATCAAGCAAGAACAAGGCAAACAATCAAGGCAAAAATTCAATGCGGCATCAACAAGATACTTAAAAACAATTAACACAGAAACAAATTAAACAATTTAACAGTAATAAACATTCAAGTGGCGTCTCATAACTAGAATCATGATCCAAACTCGTCAGTCGTGGTTCCATTTCCTGAAGTCATTGCACTGCTTATTCAAGCGCCTGTTCAAATAGCCAGGTTTTCACTTTTCCCCGGAAAATCATCAAAGAGGGAGCCAATCTAATGTCCGTGGGAAGGGCATTCCACAGCTGAGGGGCCACCACCTAGAAGGCCCTGTCTCTCGTACCCGCCAGCCATGCCTGTGTTGCAGGCGGGATTGAGAGCAGGGCCTCCCCGGAAGATCTCAAAGTCCTAGTGGGTTTGTAGGTGGAGATGCGATCGGATAGGTAACTTGGAAACTTTATACCCCGCCACCATCTCCCCAAGGGGACTCGGGGCGCCTTACATGAGGCTAAGCCCAACAATTACAACAGTGCAAATATACAACATAAAAATACAATAATAAAAATATAATGAAAATAAAATACAAGAAGCTGCCAGAAGTTCCTTTTTTGGATTACTCCCAAGTTTGTAGTAGGAGCAGAAACCGGCAGAAAGTTCTTACTCGTGTATTATTATTATTATTATTATTATTATTATTATTATTATAAAACTTTATACCCTGCCACCATCTCCCCAAGGGGATTCGGGGCGCCTTACATGAGGCCAGGCCCAATGCTTACAATAGTGCAAATATGCAACATAAAAACTACAACAATAAAAATATAATGAAAGTAAAATACAAGAAGCATTACAAAGTTACACACACAGTGCAAATTAAAAGCACAATAATTGGGCACAGTGGGCAGGGCCAGTTGCAAAGTTTAAAAGATTTCCACTTTGGCAGGAAAAACGAAATGCAAAGATACAAAATGGGGGACAATGCCTGGCTCGAGAGCAGTACGTGTGAAAAAGATCTTGGAGTCCTCGTGGACAACAAGTTAAACATGAGCCAACAATGTGATGTGCGGCAAAAAAAGCCAATGGGATTTTGGCCTGCATCAAGAGGAGCCAAGTGTCTAGCTCTAGGGAAGTCCTGCTCCCCAGGCTCTATTCGTTTTGGTTAGACCACACCTGGAATATTGTGTCCAATTCTGGGCACCACAATTCAAGAGAGATATTGACAAGCTGACTGTGTCCAGAGGAGAGCGACTAAAATGATAAAAGGTCTGGAGAACAAGCCCTATGAGGAGCGGCTTAAGGAGCTGGGCATGTTTAGCCTGAAGAAGAGAAGGCTGAGAGGAGATATGATAGCCATGTATAAATATGTGAGAGGAAGCCACAGGGAGGAGGGAGCAAGCTTGTTTTCTGCTTCCTTGGAGACTAGGACGCGGAACAATGGCTTCAAACTACAAGAGAGGAGATTCCATCTGAACACGAGGAAGACTTCCTGACTGTGAGAGCCGTTCAGCAGTGGAACTCTCTGCCCCGGAGTGTGGTGGAGGCTCCTTCTTTGGAAGCTTTTAAACAGAGGCTGCTTGGCCATCTGTCAGGGGTGATTTGAATGCAATATTCCTGCTTCTTGGCAAGGGGTTGGACTGGATGGCCCATGAGCTCTCTTACAACTCTTTGATTCTATGATTTAAAACACTGGGTATTTATTTGTCATGTCAGGGCAACTAGTCAATTGTATTACATTTCTAACAGAACAAAACAGACAAAATATTTTTTTGTGTTGAAAAAGTATAATAATAATAGTAATAATAATACAGACAAAATACAAAATTTGCGAGTTTGGTAGTTGATTAAATGTCCTTTGACCAGTAGCTGGCCACTTGGAGTACCCGGGCGTCCCCCGGGCAACGTCTTCGTAGACGGCTGATTCTCTCACCCCAGAAGCGACCAGAAAACACTGGGTGAGATGAGCAGTGTAGTGTATCTGGAAGGAGGATCTGATGGGACGAAACAATGGGGTTTAATTGCACCAGAGGATAAAATAAAGTGCATCCGAGGGCATTTTATGCAAGGTTTGGTCAAGGTCAGGGATTGTTGTTCATTCATTGAAGGCACACTGGAACAGCCAAGTTTTTAGGCTTTTCCTGAAGACTGCCAGGGTGGGCGCTTGCCTAATTTCTCCGGGGAGTGAGTTCCAAAGCCGAGGGGCTACTACAGACAAGGTTCTTTCCCTCATCCCCACAAGTCACACTTGCGACGGGGGAGGGAGCAAGAGAAGGGCCCTCTGGAAGATCAAAGGGGTCGTGTAGGTTTGTAGAAGGAAATGTAGTAACGAAGGTAGTTAGGTCTTTGTCTGCCATTTGAAGCCATTTCTCCATTACTTTGGCCTGGCCCAGTTTTATTGTGTTTTGGTGTATTGTTTTATTGCTTGTTGTTTTAATATTGCTTAACTGTTTTTGATTTGCTTTAGGTTGTGTATTGTTATACTGTGTTTGAGGCCTTGGCCTTTGTAAGCCGCATCGAGTCCTTCGGGAGATGCTAGCGGGTACAAATAAAGTTAATAATAATAATAATAATAATAATAATGTGTCCTAGTTTTTTCAAAAGTGACAAAAGATTGAGAACATGGAAAAAGAAAAAACACTTGTGAATTCATAGCTCCATCTGAACAACAACTTGCTCAGGCATGGGCAAACTTAGGCCCGCCAGGTGTTTTGGACTTCAACTCCCAAAATTCGTAAGGGTAGGCTGTTACAAATTATGGGAGTTGTAGTCCAAAACACCTGTTTGGTGTTTTGGACTTCAACTTTGTCCATACTTGAGTTAGCTGATATTTAGGGAAGACAAGATTTCTGGAATCAGGATATTCTTTGTGCTATAAGAAGCTACCCCAAGGTTCCACATTGTTTGAGGAGAATATTGTTGCACCAGCTCCACTGGCTGCCAGTCTGCTACCATAATTCAAAGTGTTGCCTTTAGCGTATAAAGCTCTAAACAGTTCCAGCTTACCTGTCCGATCATATCTCTCCCTATGAACCACCTCGGAGATTAAGATCGTCTGGGAAGGCCTGCTCTCGGTCTCGCTTCCTCGCAAATGCGACTGCAAATGCGAATTTAATTTAAATTTTTAGTGGTATTGGAATTATATGTGTTTTAAAGCATTGAATAATTGGAGTTGGAAGAGATCACAAGAGCCATCCATTCCCACCCCTTGCCATGCAGGAACACCCAATCAAAGCACCCCCGGCAGATGACTATCCAGTTTCTGTTTTAAAAATCTCCATAGAAAGATTCTTAGCCAGCATATTCCACTGTTGAAAGGCTCTTATCATCAGGAAATTCTTCCTATTGTTTCGGTAGAATCTCTTTCCCTGAAATGTAAACCCATTGTTCCAGGTCCTAGTCTCCAGAGCAGCAGAAGACAAGCTTGCTCCTGCCAGTTCAAATCAGATAATGTGGGATTTTATGCAGCTGTGTGGGAGGGGCCTAAACCTTTTTTCCTCCAGGCTGAACTTCCTCATAAGGTATGGCTTCCAATCTTTCATCAGTTTGGTTGCCCCTCTCTGTACACCTTCTGTATTTCCCATCTTCTCGAATTGTGGTCTTCCAGGTGTGGTCTGACCAATACAGAATTTTGTTGTTTATTCGTTCAGTCACTTCCGACTCTTTGTGACTTAATGGACCAGCTCCCGCCAGAGCTCCCTGTTGGCCATCTCGCCCTTGGTCAATCCCTCTTCCTTCCATTTTCCCCAGCATCATTATCTTCTCCAAGCTTTCCTGTCTTCTCATTATGTGGCAAAGTACTTCATCTTTGCCTCTAATATCTTTCCCTCCAGTGAGCAGTCAGACTTTATTTCCTGGAGTATGGACTAGTTTGATCTTCTCTGTCCCGCAATCTAGACGCAATACTCCTATTGAAGTAACCTAGAATTGTGTTGGCTTTTAAACTGCTACATCAAACTGTTGACTCATTCTCAGCTTATGGTCTACCAAAAATACTATATCTTTTCCTATGGACTGTTTCCAAGACAGATGTCACCCATTCAATATCTGTGCATTTCATTTGTATTGTGTAAGTGTCAAACTATACATTTCTCTATGTTAAAATCCATTTTCTTCATTTTGGCTGGACAGTAATTGATTAGGTTTGTGAGGCTCTTAGCAAAAACATTCCTCCAAGCATCTGTAAGTGTAAGCTATCCCTTGCAGAAGTCCAGCTTGATTAAACCTCCTCAGACCATGGTCCAAGAAGCCAAATTGTTCCTATTGGCACTGTATGCAAAGCCAGTTATTCATTTCTATAGTGCTTCTCTCCCTTCCTGTGCTGTGTCCTTGAATTGGGAGGAAGATAATATTATGACCTGGCTATCAAGGCCATTTAGCTTCCTACCCATAGCTTTATAATCCCATATGATCGCCTGAAGGCTACAACTTGCAGTGTCACTGGTTCCTTAGGTCGACTAAAATAAAGGATAATGTTCTCTGCATTTGACAAACCTTGCCAGACTTTCTGCTACATCTACCATTTGAATGTTTCATATCCAGTTCCTTTCCTTCTCTTTTACTCACAGGTGGATTTAATTCTCCTGGAAGAGGAGGTGGAGGACCTTTCCGAGGCGGCAGGGGAGGCAGCAGAGGAAGAGGTGGCCCACGTGGCGGCGGCCGAGGAGGTCGGGGTGGCTTCAGAGGAGGCAGAAAGGTGACAGTGGAGCCTCATAGGCATGAAGGTAAGAGAGGCTTAATGTGTTAAAATGGGGAGATCATTGGTCTTCCAGGCACTTCCAAAGCTTATTGAATCTTCCAAGCTCTCAATTTCCCTGAAACCTTCCCCACTCAAATATTTTCAAAATTTCCTAATGTTTTGTTTACCTCAGATGTCCACACAAGATGGCAAAGTCATTCAGTGGTGATACATACACCCCAATCCCCACAGCAACAACAGAACTATCCTAGAAAATAGGAAGTTGTCTTGACCAGTCCAGTCTGTAGAGGGAATTCACAGGTTAAAATAGGTCTGCATCTGAACTGTAAAAGAAACATACAGTTGTCTGAGGAAAATGATGTTCTCAGCTCCAAAGCTGATAAAAGATCAACTATATTTGTTTAGAGCACACCAGCATGTGCGGTCTCTGGCTTTGTCAAATATAATACAAATAAAGGTGTAAGGCAAATGTGAAGGCACTATTCCACCTTGAGTGCAGCAACAACAATACCTGGGGTCACAAAGGAATTTGGACTGAAAGAGGTCATGAGAAGAAAAATAATTAAGAAGCCCTGCACTAGAATGTTGAGGACTGGCAGAGCATAGAAGACACCCTTCTTAGAGTCATAGAGTTGGGAGAGGCCACATGGCCATCCAGTCCAACCCCCTTTTAGAAATTCCTTCATTTCTCTGCTTTTCATAGAGGTGGCAACTTTGTCTGATGGCCCAGTTGGTCTCTGTCATGTTGCAGATCATTGTTCGCTGAGTTACATACTCAAACGTCCACCTGGATTCTGTGTACTCACCTGCATAGAGTTTATGGTCACCTTAGTTTTCTTTACCATTAAGAGGTATTATTTTAGTCTGTGACCATGACCACAGACTTGGGCATGTTTATCTGAGATTAATCTAATTGAAATCAATGGAGTTTTGTTAAATCAATTTAGGATTTATTTTGTTACACCAGTGGTTCCCAATGTTGACAATGATTGGATAGTCTCAGAGTTGCAGTCCAAAATGTTATTTTTCTTAAGCAAGTTTTAAATCTGTATTTGGCTGCAGAGTGGCTTCTTATGGGGCATGTTTTATTTTTAAATTTTGTATCCCCTTTAAATGAATTTAAATTATTTTAATGTAATGATTTGAACTGTTCTGAAAATGTCAGTGTTAGATATTAGTTGAGTTTTGTGGGTACTTTCAATCCCACTTCAGGAGAAAGTTGGCATATAAATGAAACAAATGAATAGCTCTGTGTTTAAGTGGATGACTTGTGACTCTTCAACGTTATGTATCTTTGGTTACTTTTTATCTGTGTCTCTCTTTGAACAAAATTCAAGATGGTTGTTGGCCATGCAAAACAGAGTATATTTTTAAAATGTCAATACAAAAGTTAAAAGCGGTTTATGACCACTGTTTGAAACACAATAGCTTTAAAAATTATATAATAAATATGCAACACAAACCGCATCTGCTGCAATGAATTAAAAACCAAATGCCTGCCTAAATGAAAAAGGATTTGCATGCAAGCAGAAAGACAACAGAGAGGAAACTAGATAGACCTTCCATGGGAGTAAATTCCACAATTTGGAAGCAAGCACTGGGAATACTCTCTATGCATCTTCACCAAACATGCCTATGATGATGGTGAGACCAAGAAGCAGTCATTCCCCTCAGGTCTTAAAGCTCAGATGGGCTCATGTAGCACACTGCCATAAGCCCAAGGCACTGTAACTGACAGGAATGATGGAAGTGGTAGTTCGTCAACATCTGGATAGCTACAAATTGTCCGCCCCATTTATAGATGTTCTGTATGTTTAGTACCTTAACAAACACATTTTCCAACAGCAGTTTTGGAGTTTTGTTTGTTTTCCCATATGGCTCAGGTCCAGGCTATTTGGATGATGGCATCCTCTTGTACAAACGTGCCTGGGTCCTGAGATCTTCAGGAGTGGCCCTTCTCTCAGTTGCACCTCCAACTCAAGCTCGGTTGGTGGGAACAAGAGAACAGGGCCTTCCTTCTCGGTGGCTGCCCCTCTACTCTGGAACTCCCTTCTTCCCATGAAATCCAGAATGGCCCCTCCCTGCTGTCCTTCTGGCATCAGGCTAAAACATTTGTTTTCAGGCAGGCTTTGAAAGAAGGAGGTTTTTAAGACCAAGTCAGGGGGTCCTGTGGTTGTAGCTATGAATATGTATTTATTTACTATATTTATACCCTGCCCTTCTCACACTGAAGAGGACTCAGAGCAGCTTACAAGTAGGCAACAATTTGATGCCTCATAAACAGACATACAAACAAAATAAACATATACATTAAAAACCAAAAAGTTTAAAACATCTCAACATTAAAACCAATTATTAAAACCATGCAATCCAAAATTATAGTCAGGAGCCATTCCATTTTTTATTCCACTATTCCATATTCATTTTAATTGGTTTTAACTGTTTACTTTTAATACTATTCAGATTTAATTCTATTTTCATGTTTGTGTATTTTTAGGCTTTACACTGAAATATATTGGTTTTACTGTAAGCTGCTTTGAGTCTTTTTTTTTACAGAGAAAAAGTGTGATACAAATAATATAAATAATAATCATAATTCCTTAAATCAATTGTTATCTTATTTTGTTTTTCTAAGGAGTTTTCATCTGTAGAGGAAAGGAAGATGCACTTGTGACAAAGAACATGGTACCTGGGGAGTCTGTGTATGGAGAGAAGAGGATTTCTGTCGAGGTGGGTAGTGAGTGATGTGTTTGGGGGAAGCTTCAGATAGCAGAGTGGAAAAACAGCATAGTTTGTAAAAAAGGAAGGATTGATCAAGCACATTTCAAGTATGAATATTTATTTTATTCTGTAAACTTTTTTTACATTCAATATGTTTTTTCCCCTTTTTCTTTAAGGATGGTGAAATAAAGGTGGAATATCGTGCCTGGAACCCTTTCCGTTCTAAGCTGGCTGCTGCGATCCTTGGGGGCATTGATCAGATTCATATCAAACCAGGCAGCAAAGTGTTATACTTGGGAGCAGCATCAGGGACTACAGTGTCTCATGTCTCTGACATAGTTGGACCGGTAAGCAACTGTTGGAACATTTGAAACTAGGATGAGAATTTGTCAGAAATGCGTGCCCTTCTGCATGTTGTCAGACTGCAATATCAATTAGGCTTAATTAGGACAGCTCATATTGAGGGCTCATGTGAGCTGCTGTTCCAACACCTGGAGGAACACATGTTGCTCATCAGAAAAAATGAGTTTGGGTGGTGTTGGGGTTGCCAAAACATTTTTGACGGCCTGTAAGGTAAAGCAAGGGTTTGTTTCTGATGTTGAGAGGCATTCCAGTGCTACCTATCTCCAGTGAAAACTTAGTTTGGCTATTCATGGCATTTAGACTGAGTGCAACCCATCTAATCCCCAATTTCAAGCTGGGGCAGAAGGCCGAACTTTTCTCTATAGCTAGAGTTTGGAAAAGTGATATTCTGAAATATCTCTCTCAGAATCCCCTAGCCGGTCTAGGAAATGTAATCTAAAGAGGCAATATTTCCATTCCAGGAAATGATCTGAATTGCTGCATTACCCCCAGTTGTTTTTTTTAACTATCTGGTCAGAAGTGTATTTGTAGATACAACTGCAGCACTGGGTCTTGTGAATGCTTTTTCAAGGTACTGTTAGCCGCTTCATTGCGCAAGTAGATAAAGTGTGCTCTGTGTTCCTTTCTGTATCTCATCAAACAGGAAGGTCTTGTGTATGCTGTTGAGTTTTCCCATCGCTCAGGCCGCGACCTCATTAATGTAGCAAAGAAGCGAACCAACATCATCCCTGTAATCGAGGATGCCCGACACCCACACAAATACCGCATGTTGATTGGTAAGATGCATGTAAAGCCTTTCCTCCTGTACAGATAGCAGCACCTGTGTTATGATTCAACTGGACGTTTCTCACTAGATTGTCCCTTTGTCTCCTGCTCTTACATACACAGAAGGATCAGAAGGTTGAACACAAAAATCCTTATAATGAATCAGACTGACTTGGCTCAGCATAATCTACTCCAGGGCTGGTGAAAGTGCAGCCAGTATGCCATGTGTGGCCTCTCAGCTCCCTGGTAATACTGAACACCCACCCAATCATTCGATAAATATTTTTAGTCCACTTTTTAGGTAGGGATTTTTTTGGCCTGCAGACAGCCTCAAATGTGTTAAACCTGCCCAAAAAAGTGGTGGTTTCACTCCCCCTCCCCCCCAAAAAACCCACATTACAAAATAATGAAATCTATCAAAAGCACAGTATCAAGAATTTGATTCACTTACCTGTGTCTGGAACCCCCCCCCCCCCCCCCCCCATATCTTCTTCCCCTCTTCCTTCAGTCTTATCCTTTGGTAGTGGCCTGAAGATTTGTCGCAGGTTTCCAGGAATAGAACCCAGTACCATCTGCAAGCAAACCACAAAACCTGTTGCCCTAATTGCATTATTTAAATTATTTTGGAGAACAGCTTCTGTCATCTCTACTCAGTACGGAATGGTGGATGTTGTGCCCAAAATCTCTGGAGATAATCTTGGTTGGGAAAGGCTGCCCTAAATGACTGGGTCAGCTAGGACTAGCAATTGTTGTTAGACTGGAAACATTAAGCCAGTTTACTGTCTCCCATCCTGTCGTATTTCACAGTGTTTTATGGGGGGAGGGCGTTGAAGGATAAAGAAAAAGCTGTTATGCTTCATTGAATAGCAGGAAGGAAAAGCAGGATGTAAATGTTATGTATACTAAATAGGTTAATAAGACACTTGCTACTTCCCAGCAATTGGCCTTACAACGGCAATGGCAAATACTGAAAGTGTAGATCTGGTTTATTTATTTATTTATTTAAAGCATTTCTGTTCCGCCCTTCTCACCCTGAAGGGGACTCACAACATAAAAAGGCAAACATTCAATGCCAAAACATACTAGACCATACACATACAAAAACATTAAAATCACTTATCTTGACATTAAAATCCTCTAGTTAAAACTGTCTCAACAACCATATTGAATTTGGTTGGCAAACTAAGAGTTCTTATCGCCGCCTCATTACACAGTCCCAAAGGCTCGGTCCCACAGCCACGTTTTTATCAACCTTCTGAAGGACAAGAGGGGGAGGGGGCTGACCTGATCTCATTAGGAAGGGAGTTCCATAGCCGAGGGGCAATCACTGAGAAGGCCCTGTCTCTCATTCCCGCCAAACACACCTGTGATGGTGGCGGGACCGAGAGCAGGGCCCCCCCAGAAGATCTTAATCTCTGCGGTGGTTCATAGGGGGAGATGCGTTCAGACAGATAAATTGGGCATAGTGTTCCCCAGATAATGAACCACAAGCCCTATAATCCCCAGCCAATAACTAACCTAGTTGAGGCTGATAAGAACTGCAGTGGTTCAAAGAAGATTTATGAATAATAGTCTTCAGATCCCTTTGTCTAACGTATCTTTTCTCTTTTCAGGCATGGTGGATGTAATCTTTGCAGATGTAGCTCAGCCTGACCAGTCACGTATAGTTGCTTTAAATGCACACAATTTCTTAAAAAATGGTGGCCATTTTGTCATCTCCATTAAGGTAACTCTTAGTATGACTTTTGTACGATTTATTTTCCTTGAATGTGGCTTGAAATATGACTATTCACATGCTGCCTGAGTACCTGATATCAGTGTAGGTTGCATTATAAGAGTAATGACTTGTTGCCCACCACCCTGTCCCCTTCCAGATTTCAGGAGCTGGAGTATTTAACTGACCGATGCACATCTCTTTTGTTCAGGCAAACTGTGTTGACTCAACAGCAGCCCCCGAGGCAGTTTTTGCATCAGAGGTAAAGAAAATGCAGCAGGAAAATATGAAACCCCAAGAACAGTTAACTTTGGAGCCCTATGAGCGAGACCATGCAGTGGTGGTTGGCATTTACAGGTATGATGAAATATTTTATTTTTACTAAAAAGAATGTTATATTTTTAAAATTACATACAGGAATATAAATATAGGGGGAAAAACCTTCAGAGGGTTATAAAGACATTGCAATTACACAAAAAGAAGCCAAAATAGTGGAGAAGGAAACTGATTTTTAACTTTTTTTTCTAATGGTTGGATGTGATGTAATTATATGTATTAGTACCTATACTTTTACAATTTATGTACTCCTACTAGCAGTGGAATTTTCAGAGAGGATATTAGTAAATGTCCTCTCTGAAAATTCCACTCCTAGTATGAGTAAATTATTCCCACAGAAAGACAATGGTGCTTCTCGGTCTTTCATAAAACTACTCACTGACTTTTCTTTAATTTATTTATTTACTGTATTTATACCCCACCTGTTGGAATCGCAGACACCTTAAAGGGCCAGACTCAAAAGTGGCTTTAAAACAGAGTTTATTAAAACAAAAGAAAAAGGATGCAAAGATACTTAAATGCAGTGCCACTGGTCAAAACTCAGACCTGGTCCAAAAAGGTTGACAGAATTATAATCCGGATAAACTGGATGCAAAACAAACGAATCAAACAAAGCACTGTGAGGCAAAACAAAAGGCACAGTACACAAATGGTTAACAAAAAGGAGGGGCCGCAGGAAGAGAAGCGTCGTCAGCTGAAGTCCAGGGTTGAAGCGGGAGAAATCCGAAACAGCGCTGCTTCAGTGTCCGCAGAAGCAGCGTCTTTAGCCAAGCCGGTCCATGTCCAGGAAGGGAGAAGTCCACATTCACGAGAAGCCAATCCGGGTCAGTAACATGCAAACGATCAGGAAATCCAAACTGCAGATCCCAAACCAACGCCGAGCACGAAACGGGCAGCAACAAGTCCACACACAGCACCCAACACACGAACGTTCATCAACACCTTGCCTTCTGCAAGGACCCATCACCCCTGAACCCACTTTTATTTACAAATCATCATCTGAAGATGAACTGACTACTGCCCCATCAGAATCCCCCACAGCTGCTCCCAGCTCTTCACGTGAATTCCCTTGTCCTTCCCTCCAAGTCCTCCATCTCCTGTCAAGACTTAGGTCACCCCAAGACTCAGTTGGATCCCCTGATTGCCAGTCTTCACCCCCAGAGAACCCATAAAGGTATCATTTGTGAGGTAGGCTCCTCACAAATAGCTTGCACTTCCCATATCTTAGTCCAATCCATGGTGTCTCCTTCTTCTCCTTCACTCATTGACCCATCATCCCCAGAGAATCCCTCAGACGACTCCTCATCTGTAGGTGCTGTAAATATGTCCTAGATCTTCTTTCTCTGCTGCTCATCATCAGATTCCTGCTCCCGAGTAACCCTTTTCCCCCTTCTGGCACCCATACTACTGTTTGTAACATTACTCACAGGCTCTACTACAACACCACCCTTCTCAACCCTGTAGAGGACTCTAGTCAGCTTTTATATATAGGCTACAATTAGATGCCAGCACACACATAATAACATAAGCATTAAAACAATAATTAAAACACAATAAAAGGTTAAAACCAATTATTTAAAATCACGCAATCTAACATCATAGTAGGTGGCTGTTCTAATTTATTATTTCGTCTTTTTTTATTGCACTACTAGATTACTCATTGAATGCTTGGGTCAGGAGGGAGAGGGCTGATCTAATTTCACTAGGGAGGGAGTTTCATAGCCGAGGCACCACCACTGAGAAGGCCCTGTCTCTCGCCCCACCAATCGCACCTGTGAAGGAGATGGGACTGAGAGCAGGGCCTCCCTGGAAGATCTTAATCTTCTAGTGTAGCTCATAGAGGGAAATCATTCGTACAGAGAAACTGGGCCAGAACTGTTTAGGGGTTTATAGGCTAAAGCCAACATTTTGAGTTGTGCTCGGTAGCAGACTGGCAGGCAGTGGAGTTGACACAACAGGAAGGATGTCCTCTCTTTGTTGGACTACTTAAAGCTTCCGAACAGTCTTCAAAGGCAACCCCATGTAGAGCGCATTGCAGTAGTATATTCAGGATGTAACAAGAGCGTGGACCACCGTGGCCAACTCTGGCTACCCAAGAGAAGATACTTAACTTACCAATTTCAGCAAGGTCATAGAGTTTTATTCTTTCCATTTCTACAAATACAAAAATCTAGCTGATGTAATTATACACTAGCCCCTTGGTGTTTGCAAGGCTTGGAAGCACAGGATTCCTTTGAAAACATGAATATCTGAAGCTCCGCGCTAACCCCCCCCCCCCCCAAAATATTAAAACACCTGGTTCTCTGAATCCTGAGTTCATGACAGTGTGTGCTTCCTTCAATGAAACCATCCCTTCACCTCTTCTTTCTTGGCAGATGGTGGTGCAGAGCAAATTGTTCTAGCCTACTTCCCCCACCCATATTTGTCTGCCTAAACAGGCTGCAGAAGCCACTTCCACTTCACAGGAGTCTATTTTTCATGGGTGGTGCCTAGTTTGGACACTGGTGCTGTATGCTACCCCAGACCTGCAACTCTCCATCCTCTGTCTTGTCCTCTTCCTCCTCCTTTGCAGAAGTGAAAACTCCAGGCAGAAATGTCTCCATTAAGTCAGTAGTAGAGGGCCATGTCCTGCAGCCACTCTACTGTAGTAGCCATTGCTGCTTCTGCCTCGCATGCCCCACTGGTGGTATCAAGAATGAGGGTTAGGCCTCACTTTCTGCCATCCCAACAGTGTCTGGCCTGTGGGGGGCTCCTCCTCTTACATGCTATGTGTATCTCTTCTTATTCTGCAATCTGGTGCCTTTAAGTTATTTATACAGAGCTTCAAGTATCTTTGCACACATAAATATTGTGGTGAATTATATTGTCTACTTTTAACCTTGAAAGTATCATAAATACAGTCTGGATGCTCTCTCTCATTGTCGTGCAGGAAAATGTGATCAATTTTAGGGAAAGGGGGTGACCCAGTCCGACACCCCTTCTGTCCTCACTATCATGTTTTTGGTGCTCTGTGTGATCACTCTGCTTATGCTTGCCCAGTGGCTACCTCATGATAGAGGCATCTCCATGCTGCATGGCCAAAGAGGGGGTTGCCTGGGATCTTTGGCCTCCTAAGAACAGCACAGGAGGCAACCCCACTGTGGGCAAACATGATGTTGGATTCTAATGTTGGATTCTCTGTTGGACCTGAGAAGTCCATATAACAGTAATGCATGAGAGCTCCTCCTCCTCCTGATGATACAAAAGAGAAGCAAAAACTGGCTGGGGTGTTCAAGATACTCCTGCTCTTCTGCACGCTTCCATTGAAGAAGGCAGTTTCTCCTTGATCTAATATCTTTCTGCCCTCCTCCTGGCTAGATGTCTCCACAGTAGGAATGTTTATGCTACTTATGGCCTGTTCCCAAACGTACAAAAAGCCACTCCAGGTTTCATAGAATCACAGTCGGAAGAGATCACATGGCCCATCAAGTCCAATCCCTTGCCATGCAGAAAAGCACAAAATACCCCTGACAGATGGCCATCCAGCTTCTCTTTAAAAGCCTCCAAAGAAGGAGTTTCCATCACACTCTGAGGCAATGAGTTCCACTGTTGAACAGCTCTTATGGTCAGGAGGTTCTTCCTCATAATTATAGAATAATAGAGTTGGAAGAGACCACATGGGCCATTTATCTCCTGCCACGAACCATAATGAAGTTTAAGATCATCAGGATAGGTCCCCTCTCGATCCCACCACTATTGCAAACACGGTTGATGGGGATGAGAGACAGGGCTTTCTCAGCAGTGGCCCCCTGCCTATGGAACGCCCTCCCTAAAGATATCAGATTGGCCACCTCCCTCTTGTCTTTTAGAAGGGAAATCAAGACCTGGTGATGGGACCAAGCGTTTGATCAGTGAGCAGCAAGTGGAAGAAGATCACACAACTTATGGCAATGAATTGACCCGGACTGGTTTTTGGATTTCAATTTTAATGGATGTATCTTAATTAATTGTTTTGTTTTAATTTTTAATATTTTGATTGTACTGTGGTTGTTTTTATGATGCTACCATCGTATGATGCTTTTGTTAGGCCGTCCTGAGTCCCCCTTCGCGGGGAGAAGGTTGGGGTATAAATATAGGAAATAAATAAATAAATTTAGTCCAACCCCCTGCCATGCAGGAAAAGCACAATCAGAGTACCCCTGACAGAAGGCCATGCAGCCTATATTTGCCTAAAGTGAAGTTGCCTACTGTGAAGCTTTTGGGAAGCTGCAAATCTTGGGCAAAGACAACCACATTTTACTGTATGTCTAGGATGGCAATATCCATGAATCATTCTTAGGACGTTTTCAAGTTAATAAGGGATAAAGCTAAGTTGCCAAGACATAGAGGCTTTGGGTCAGGGCATTCAGGCAGTTGTGGCCAGACTCTGGAACTTCCCCTGAATAAGGGAGCCAGTGTAGCAGCCCCCATGGTCCAATTAGCAGGCAAAGACAGTACAGTCTCCACCCTCAAACATGGAGGACCAATTTGTGTTTCTTCCATATTTTTTCCTCTTTGTCGGGGTAAAAAGAACTTTGGCTTAATTTTTTTATCTTCAGGATTTTCCAAATCAGACCATGAATTTGAGTCCAGCTTTTTTTCATCACATATGGTTAAGTCCTCGTTTGCTACTCACATTTCCAAACCGACATTAGCAGTCCCTTTGTACATCCTAGATAATCTCTCTGGAATCAATTACTATATTTGACTATATGGTGAAATCTAACTTTACTATTGCCTGGTTGAACTTGTGTCTGAATGTAGGGAAGGGATGGGCGGCCTTATTGTGAGGCTGAAAAAAAAGTCAGACCACACCTTCTGCTGTACTCAAGCTTAGGGACAAATGTTCAATTTCAGCAGTAAAGAAACCATGTGTTGATATTGCATTATATTGTGTGTGTGTCCCCATTCGTCAATATTACAGTAGCATTCACAATCTCTCCACAAAGAGAATATGCAGTCCTCTAGCTGTTGAATTGCAATTCCCATTGGCTCTAGGAAGCATAGCTATGAAGAGATTGCAGTCCATCAGCACTTTGTGAGGGGTGTTCACAAAACTTTGTCCAAACCCCATTGATATTTCAATATTAATATGAGCCTTATTCCACATCAAACTGTTTGTTTCCCTAGCACTAAATAATCTTCTTTGAGTGATATCGGCTCTCTTAAGGTTCATTCACAGTTGAGCTTGAAACAGGCACTTTTAGCATACTACGTCTAGGGATCACTGAGAACATGTGTCACTTGTTTTCTCATTCTGGAAAAATGAACTTGGTGACAATGAACAACTGCACAGAATGTGCTTGGTTCCTCCCGCCCACTATCTCTCTATACAAAAAACAACAACAACAACTATTCAGCTCCCTCTTCCAAATGCCCTGGGTATTGAAAACAGAAAGGATGCATATCATCCAGAGGAGGATATGTCCAGAGGAAGGTGACTAAAATGATCACGGGTCTGGAGAACAAGCCCAATGAGGAGCAGCTTAAAGAGCTGAGCATGTTTAGCCTGAAGAAGAGAAGGCTGAGAGGAGACATGATAACCATGTATAAATATGTGAGAGAAAGTCATAAGGAGGAGGGAGCAAGCTTGTTTTCTGCTGCCCTGGAGACTAGGACACGGAACAATGGCTTCAAACTACAAGAACCTCCTGACTGTGAGAACCGTTCAGCAGTGGAAGTCTCTGCCCCAGAATGTGGTGGCGGCTCCTTCTTTGGAAGCTTTTAAACAGAGGCTGGATAGCCATCTGTCGGGGGTGCTCTGAATGCAATTTTCCTGATTCTTGGCAGGGGGTTGGACTGGATGGCCCATGAGGTCTCTTCCAACTCTATGATTCTATGATTTTATCTCACCAGCCAAAGCAGCAACGATTACTGAACCATATACCAACAGCAAGAGAAAGTCAGTCTGTATTCAAAGGGATGCGGATGCATGTTCTGGCCGTGTGAAATGTATCCCCTGTCTTCCTCTTCATACCTTAATTTATGGTTCTTGTCATTCAAAGCCCTAAGCTTGCAAGGACATGCTGTAACTTTTCTAAATTGATGCAAACTATTGTATCAGAGCTTTTATATTCTAATTGTTGAAACTCCAACAGTGACATTATTCTTGCTGGGATGGTAACGTGTAAATTTTGAAAGACAGTACTATCCAGCCTAGCCAGTTCAAATCCTCTCCAGCACTACCGTTTTTTTCTTCTTTTTAGCAGTAAGAATGGTGGTAAGGGAGGGAATATCAAAATGGAAAAGAATACTAGTGATCAAAAATGAGGAAGCTCTGTCGATCACACTAGATCAGTGGTTCCCAACCTTTTTTTGACCAGGGACCACTCTCCAATATTAGTACTAAAAATTGTTACGAATCTGTTTTTGGTCTACTTTAGATTTGGTTTGGTTATTTGAGGTGGTAATTCAGAAAATTGCAATGGATAGACCACATTAGCTTGAGTTTCTGATACAGAACATATGTCATCCAGTAGTCGCTGTCTGCTTGCCCATATAAAACCATATTTAATAATCTAGGGTAGATATTGTAGTAATCTTTCATGGGATATTCGGCCCCTCTCCTCCCAATGTCCCTGTTGCCTTAGCACTATAAGAGGGTTTCACGAAACCAGTTACTCCTGTTGCCACTTGGTTTCAAGGCAATGGTGTAGTAATTGTGAGGCCGCGGACCATATTTTTGTTCTTGAGGACCACTGCCCTAGATAGTGTTTGTGGGGGGTAGAAACTAAATATCTTCAATCACTCAAAGACCAAAAGTTTTACACCCTTAGACAAGTCTAACTGATTCCTTCATAAGTGGACAGAATTATTTCATGAGTATTTTCTTTGTCTCTTGAGATGTCTTGAAAGGTTGTGAATATGGGGTTCTCTTAACTTACCCTTCTTTAGCATGAAGCATGTGTGGTTAGGGTTCTGGAGAAGGTATACTAGTAAACAACTAATTGTGGTTCAAGAAATGTGCTTTAGGAAGTGGTTTATTTGATATTCTGACAATGTTATCACACTAAGCTAAGTGCCATCAAAATTTCAGGAGTGCGTCTAGTTCCGTGATGGCGAACCTATGACATGGGTGTCAGCACTGACACGCGTAGCCATTTTTGATGACATGCAGACACATATAGAGAAGCATGGGTTCGCATGCCAAGAACGTTTCATCCTTTGCTCCTGCATGGCCAAGTGCAGTAGCCGAGGATGAAACATTTGCTGTAGTGTAGGCATGCTGTGCTGGAGGTCTGTAGGCCAAAATAACAGAACTCTGGCACAAATTTATTTATTTGTTTGTTTATTTATTTATTTATTTATTTTATTTGTATACCGCTGTTCTCAGCCCTTAGGCGACTCACATTTATAACATTTATTTGCCGCCCTTCCCACCCCGAAGGGGACTCAGAGCGGCTTACAAGTAATATGTATATACAATATATTATATTATTACCATAACACAATATTAATATTATATATTACTATATTGTACTATACCATTATACTGTAATATTATTAGTAATATTACATGTAATATAAAATATATAATTATAATATATAATTATTAGTATTATATTGTATTACATTATACTACTATAAATATCATATGTATATACAATATATTATATTATTAGCACAGTGCAGGAGACAAGGTGGAACTGTCTTCCTGGTCCCCTCTCTTCACTCTGGTCCCAGAGCAGTAGTTGGTGCTGTGGGGAGGAGCTCCCAACTGATGACACTTCACGCTGGTTTCATCCTCTTTTTTGTTTTGGTCAAAGCGCCTAAGTCTGGGACTTCTGGTTAGGCCGTTAGGGGATCTTTGACCTCACTTCCAGCCAGCGGAGCAGGGAGGAGAATGCCGCGGGGGATGCATCTTTGGGAGCCCTGTGATCGCCATTACTAGCAACCACATAACCACAGCAACCATCATCCAGTCTACTGTTCTGGGGTGTCGTGGATATCTAATTTACCATCATTACTGAAATAAGTGAGGGGGAGGCTGGGAGAGGCAAGGGTCTGTGCTATGAGTGCCATTTCCCGCCATTAGAAACAGTGGCAGCCATTTTAATTTACACTAAGCAGGTAAGTTAAATAATTAGTTTTTGGTTTATTTAAAAATGTATAGTATAATTATAGTTTTTTGTTATTTAAACTATAAATATCACAAAATTAAGTTTTTCCCCCTCAAAGTGACACCCCACCCAAGTTATGTTTGTTTTTTTTGGCAAATTTTGACACTCAGTTCAAAAGGTTGTTCATCACTGGTCTAGTTCGTGTTGGATGGAGATTGCCAGTCTCCAGGCAGTCTCCAAGGTAGAGCTAGGAAGTAATTATTCCTGAATTCCTTGAGAGCTGGCACCAGTCAGAGTTGACAGTACTGGGCTAGATGGAACATCTGATTTGGTATAAGGCTGTATTCCTCTAAAATTGGAGGGACCCTGTGCTGTGTTAAATTTCTCAGCTGTGTTACTGCAAGTAGCTGTCTTGTACATCAAATACTTGAGAACTGCAGAACCCAACAGCCCCGTTTAGTACCTTTCTTGGTTAACAGATTTTTCCCTTTGTCTTCCAGGCCACCACCTAAACAGAAGAAATAATGTGTAGGAGCTATTGATGTCTTTCATGACAATGCTTCAGCTCTGAATGTCCCCTCATTATACTTTATGAAACAGGTCTTTTTCTACAGAAGAAACCCCGCCTTCCAAAGAGCAATGTGTTCATGTTGCTTTTTATTTGTATTTGAGATTCTCATGTATGCATATTTTTATTAAAATAACTAATATAGAGACATACTGGCTTGAATTGTCGGCCTGCAGAAGTGGAGGCGCTCCAGTACAATGTCAAAGGATGTTGCACCAATGTTTGTTTTTTTCCTATAAACTGATATATCACTATAAAAATATAAAAACTGTCCATTTAAGGAGAATGGAAAGCATCAATAGATCTGCACTGTCTTGCCCTGTTTCCACAATGGTCCAAATAAGTGATCTGGGAACAGCATTCAACTGCTCAATTAGCTCCATAGTATCCCTATAAAATTTGACAGTAACTTGGTCTCAATATGGATTTGAATAAGACAGTTCTGTGTACGTTGTTGGTATGCATGTAGTTTAGGATTTGTTTCTCTTCCCATCTTACATCTTCAGATAATATTTTAATATGCACAACATGGGGGTGAACTTGCTGACCAAGGTTGGCATTTTGAATCCGGGGAGCAGGGTGAGCTGCTGTTAGGCCCAGCTTCTGCCAACCTAGTAGTTTGAAAACATGCAAATGTGAGTAGATCAATAGGTACTGCTTCTGCAGAAAGGTGACAGCGCTCCATGCAGTCATGCTGGCCGCATGACCTTGGAGGTGTCTACGGACAACGCTGGAGTTGGAAACGACTAAACTTAATGTCAGGAGAAACTTTTACCTTTATGCACAACCCAGACCAGCAATTTACTATTTTAAAAAAATTCAAAGCTTGTTGGATTTTTAGGTATGGGAGATGAGTGAAATTGAGAGTATGAGAAATAGAGGGTGACCTACAATATACAGAACAAAGAAACCTGTATTGTTTTTAACAAAGTATATCCCTTCCTTTATAAACACCATAACCCTCCACCACATACATTTCATTTTTAAGAGACCAACAAATGTCAAATCGTTATTAAAGTCCTAAACAAGAAAGATGTCATTGTGTGCCTGGAAATAGGGAGGTAAACATTACATAATTGTGTCATCACTAAAAAGGCCCTTTCTCCCATGTCTATTAATTGGATCTTTGTGGCAGTGTCTTGAATATCAATCATGAAGAGCTGTTGTGGTCACTTAAGGGATAAGCGAATCCTACGATAACTGTTTACAACTTTTAAGATCCAACGTTACTGTTGTTATGGAGGTAGTCGTTTTTTAAAAAGACCATAAAGCAGGGGTCCCCAAATGAAGGCCCACTGGATTTGATGTTGTTTTCAAACTATAGTCCGGGCCCGCAACAGTTGAAAGGACCCTAAACTAGTCCTTGGCTTAAGAAGTTTGGGGACCCCTGCCATAAAGGAACCAACAGCATCAGTCAGTGTCAAAAAGCAGGGGAATTCCAGACAAGAATCAATCAGGGCCAGCTACCACCTCCCAACAAAGGATTCCCCCGGGCAGCAACCAATCAGACATTGAAGCTGCAAGGCCATTAAATGCTAATCAAGGTGTCCATTTGCAACATTCACACCTGCCTCAAGCAGACAAAAATTCCCTCCACAGATTCCACAGATATATAAACATTCCACAGATATATAAACTTCACTTGCCTAGTTTCCAACAGATCCCTCAACCTCTAAGGATGCCTACCATAGATGCAGGTGAAACGTCAGGAGAGAATGCTTCTGGAACATGGCCATACAGCCTGGAAAACTCAAAGCAACCCAGTGATTTCTGCCATGAAAGCCTTCAACAACACAAAGAGGCCACTGAATTTTTGTCCCTCTTATCCTCATTTTTGTGGTTTGCATCAGTGCTAATTTTAACTTCAATGCTTTTTGCTAATGCTCGTCCTGTATATCAATAATACCATTTTAATGATGGTGTTCTCAGTCCTGAAGGGGCTGTGGAGAGATCTGCAAGGCTAGCCAGGGAGGTGCGGGAGAGGCCTTTGCAGGGGCTGTGAGCTCTTCCTAGTCACCTTCCTGGTCACCTTCCTGTGCAGAAGGGAGTGGAGGCTTTTTCAATGCATTGGGGAGAGGGATAGAACAGTGTTTCTCAACCTAGGGGTCACAAGGGGAGTGTCAAAGGGGTTGCCAAAGACCATCAGAAAACACAATATTTTCTGTTGGTCATGTGGGTTCTGTATGGGAAGTTTGGCCCAAATCTATCGTTGCTGGGTTTCAGAATGCTCTTTGTAGGTGAACTGTAAATCCCAGCAACTACAACTCCCAAATGTCAAGTCTATTTTCCCCAGACTCCGCCAACGTTCACATTTGGGCATATTGAGTATTAATCCCAAGTTTGGTCGAGATCCATCATTGTTTGAGTCCACAGTGCTGTCTGGATGTAGGTGAACTACAACTTCAAAACTCATGATCAATGCCCACCAAACACTTGCAGTATTAATGTACTCTTGAAGGCTTTCATGGCCAGAATCACTGGGTTGTTGTAGGATTTTTGGGCTGTATGGCCATGTTCTAGAAGCATTCTCTCCTGACGGTTCGCCTGCATCTATGGCAGGCATCCTCAGAGGTTGTGAGGTCTGTTGAAAACTAGGCAAGTGAGGTTTATATATCTGTGGAATGTCCAGGGTGGGAGATAGAACTCTTGTCTTCTTGCTTCAAGCAAGCCTCAAGCACACAAGAGTTTTTCTCCCACCCTGGAGATTCCACAGATATATAAACCCCACTTGCCTAGTTTCCAACAGGCCTCTGTGGATGCCTGCCACAGATGCAGGCGAAACGTCATGAGAGAGTGCTTCTGGAACATGGCCATACAGCCCGAAAAACCTACAACAACCCTTCCAATATTTTCTGTGGGTCATGGGAGTTCTGCATGTCAAGTTTGCATGCCCCCCACCCCCCACCCACCTGGCCCACCTTCTAGTTTAAGGAGTTCTCCACTGGCTGCTTTCATCATCCGGGTTCCCATAATTCAAGGTGGCGAGTTATTATTGCTATAAAAACCCTGACACAGGTTTGGGAGCGCCCGCTATCAGACCTTTCATGACGGCCGCGTCATCTGGCGCTACTCTACTCACCTAGGCATTATGCCTCACATCCTCGCAGATCGCTCTGTATTGTAATCTTTGGGCTTGGCTCTCTTGTGTTACTGCCCTGAGGTCCGCCTTTGGAGAGATGGGGGTTGTGGGTATAAATAAGTAATTATTAGTTTTACCCTTCTCATATTTTCTTTCCGTGTGCCAAGTTTGGTTCAGTTCCATCGCTGGTGGAGTTCAGAATGCTTTTTGATTGCAGGTTAACTACAAATCCCAGAAACTACATTTCCCAAATGACAAAATCAATCCCACCCAACCCCACTAGTATTCAAATTTGGGTATTGGGTATTTGTGCCAAATTTGGTCCAGTGAATGAAAATACATCCTGCATATCAGATATTTACATTACAATTCATAACAGTAGCAAAATTACAGTTATGAAGTAGCAACGAAAATAATTTTATGGTTGGGGGTCACCACAATATGAGGAACTGTATTAAGGGGTCGCGGCATTAGGAAGGTTGAGAAACACTGCTTTAGATATGGTTGTTTGTTTTTTTGTCGTGTCAGGAGCGGCTGCAAGTCGCTTCTGGTGTGAGAGAATTGGCTGTCTGCAAGGACGTTGCCCAGGGGACGCCTGGATGATTTGATGTTTTATCATCTTGTGGGAGGCTTCTCTCATGTCCCCGCATGAGGAGCTGGAGCTGATAGAGGGAGCTCATCCGCCTCTCCCCAGATTCGAACCTGGGACCTGTCGGTCTTCAGTCCTGCCGGCACAGGGGTTTAACCCACTGCACCACCGGGGGTGAGAAAAGGGTGAGAATGGGCCAAAGCTTGAATTTCCATTCAGAGGAATCACTGGGTTGCTGTTAAGTGTTCAGGGCTGTATGGCCATGTTCCAGAAGCATTCTCTCCTGACGTTTTGCCTCACAACCTCAGGATAACTGGCATAGATGCAAGCGAAACGTCAGGAGATAATGCTTCTGGAAGATGGCCATACAGCCCTGAAAACTTACAGCAACCCAGACGTAGAGGTCCCGCTCCTCCTCACAGGGCTTTCCTCCCATCTACAGCCTTTAGAGCAGGGGTCCTAAAACTAAGGCCCGGGGGCCGGATACAGCCCTCCAAGGTCATTTACCCGGCTCTCACTCAGGGTCAAGCTAAGTCTGCAACGACTTGAAAGCACATAACAACCACAATCCAATCTCATCAGCCAAAAGCAGATCCACACTTCCCATTGAAATGCTAATAAATTTATATTTGTTAAAATGGCTCTTCATTTTAATTATTGTATTGGGTTGTGGGTTTTTTCGGGCTATATGGCCATGTTCTAGAGGCATTCTCTCCTGACGTTTCACTTGCATCTATGGCAAGCATCCTCAGAGGTGGGTGGGTCTGTTGGAACTAGGAAAATGGGTTTATATATATCTGTGGAATGACCAGGGTGAGACATTATTGTATTGTTTTTACGTGTTTTTTGCACTACAAATAAGATATGTGCAGTGTACAGAGGAATTCATTCATGTATTGTCGAAGGCTTTCATGGCTGGAATCACTAGGTTCTTGTGGGTTTTTTCGGGCTATATGGCCATGTTCTAGAGGCATTTTCTCCTGACGTTTCGCCTCCATCTATGGCAAGCATCCTCAGAAGTAGTGAGGTCTGTTGGAATTAGGAATATGGGTTTATATATTTGTGGAAGGACTGGGGTGGGGCAAAGAGCTCTTCTCTTCATTCATGGGGTTTTTTTTTCAAATTAAATCCGGCCCTCCAGCAGTTTTGAGGGACTGTGACCTGTCCCTCTGTTTAAAAAGTTTGAGGACCCCTGCTTTGGAGTCACGTACAGAAAGCCAGTCGAGGCCTGCCTGCTTCCTTCCTTCCCTGCAAATGGAGGGAGAGGGCTCTGGGGAGTGGCGCGCGCAGGCCGCAAAATTCGGCGCATGCGCAGCCCGTCTCAAGGAGGGCCGGGGAGCAGCGCGCGGAGAGGGCGCATTCCCCCCTCCCCCTTCGTCACGTGGTCGCGCGCGAGCAGGGCGCATGCGCTCGGCGGCGGGGCAGCGGAGGCGGTTTGTTGTGGTCGCCATTTTTTTTGTGGCATTACTGGGAAATCCCG